TTTACTTACTTACTAACGGCTGTCACCCACGATGGAGCATAGTCCGCCGACTAGTTTTTTCGAACCTACTCTGTCCTGGGCTTCCCCTTCCCAGTTACGTTCAATTCCTATTCATCCATTTGATATCGTTCTCTATTTCTCGGTGTAATGTGTTCCTTGGCTTTCCTCGTTTGCTTTGACCTTGAGGGTTCCATGTGAAGGCTTGACTTCTAACGCAGTTTGGTGCTTTGCGCGATATGTGTCCTAGCCACTTCCACTTCACTGTTCTCTGAAAAAAAACTAATATTTTAAATGACAACAATCGACTATGCTTATCAATCTTTTTTCATAGGAAAGAATCAAGTGTACAGTTCAATAAAACAGTTAGTTTTGTTGTTGACTGAACACTGTAATGACTTGTAACAAGACTAATCTATCACTGTTGTGATTTCAACTAAATACTGATTATTTCTACTTGTACTCTCTATTTACTATGATTTCGAAATAACTGATATTCGCTATTTATAGCATCAAAACATGACTGTTAGGCAGTGTTACAAGGAAGAAAGTAAGACACTCATAACTAACTGAATGACAGCCACAGTAGTAATAGTAGTAGTAGTAGTAGTAGTGGTAGTAGTAGTAGCATTCGGAGTAGTAGTAGTAGTCGGAGTAGTAGTTGTAGTAGTAATAGTAGTAGTAGTGTGGTGCGCGCTACTTATAAGTAGTATATGACGCGAGTGTCAACGTAATGTCTGGCAGCAGAAGATGGGGAAAGATCAAGAAAGGAAGAGTGAGAACACAATGGAATTTGTATGAAACACATGAATAAGTGAAATGTCAGACAATGGATTGATGATGGATTGAAGATTTGCAAATGAACGATTTACGATATGGTTTTCCTATCTTACTACTGAGTAACTCTGTAATTTGCGATAAATACAATTCGGTTGCCCTCACTTGTGCTCTCCTTCCCTACACTACTATTGCACAGTATATATGCTGACCTGTTTAACTGCTCTGTATTCATACAAATGATTTTGAACAGTAGAAAGATGATTTATTTTTCTGTCTCGTTTGTTGTTAGTTCATCAAAACACCACTGAGTTATATCAGATTTGCTTTGATCCAGACTATTTTCCAAACATACAAAAAGTTGTCTCATTTTCTGACCATGTTCAGTGACTGTCAAAGATTTGATCAACAGTGTACAGATGATATCAGCATACATGTCCACTAGGTTGTATCATATAACTAGTGAAATGTAATTGTATAATACACACGGAATAATGCTTGATTTCCTTTTGATTTCATTCTTTGAAATATTTCTTTTCATGAAAATTTTTGTTCTTATCTATAAACTGATTAACAGATTATTGAATATAAAATATTTGAAAAATATTTTATTTCAACTGAGATTAGACTGGAAAGAGTTTTTTTGGGATTTATTTGACATTGAGGGGTTGTTGTGAAGATTGTTAAGTTTTATTTGTAACCATGAATAGATCAATGTTAGACCACCATTAGAAACCTGGAAGCATTGAAAGATGGCCGTTTCGTCCTGGTATGGGACTCATCAGCAGCGCGCACCCACGATTCTTGCACCCCGCAGGATTCGAACCCAAGACCTTCGGTACTGTAGGCGGACGCCCTAACCATTAGACCACTGAGCCGGTATCTAACGGTGTTAATGTCTAACTTGACACATAAAATATTATAACCTTAACTTTATAGAAGTGATCACTGCAATTAATTCGATGTCCTATGTTTTTGAATATTTCGTATAAAAGGATTGTTAAATCATAATCGGACGTTTAGAAATAAACAAGACTGAGTTTATTAATGTATGTGTCTAGAATTCGATTGAAATTGGCTGTTAACTAACAATATGAAACCAGTTTCGTTCTCTGACATTATTTTGTGTTGTCACTCTTTGTGTATATCGAAGCATTCGTCTATAGTATATATATATATATATATATATATATATATATATATATCAGTAATCATTCACCGTAGAAAAGATATAACTTCTTTGATTTCCAATAACGGTAAGCATTGAAATCTAAGCAGGTGCGAATTTTGCGCTATATAGTAGGACTTATCATTTCGATGTACCAGAAGTGAGTTTACAAATAGTAAGTGCTTGACAGTATTAACGTTACAAAGAGTTGATAATCTAGTTAGAGCTCAGAGAGATTTTAATTGTTCTCTGTCCATGATAACATAATAGACTAAAAATTTTTGAATCTCTACTATTGCTACTAACTTCGTGTTGATTTCTTTTAAGTTACTTTTGGATTTTAGATTTTTTTTCGTATTTCTGTTATTCTCGTCACTTGATATGCTTGAAACTATTTACGAGTTCACCTTAGTCGGTAAATGAGAGCGAAGACAAATGGTCCAGTGACACGATAGGCTACTCTGATTCGAGAATCCCAAGGCCCCACTAACGATAACAAAAGGTCTTGATATAGCGTAGGAAGTTTATCCTACATGCACCCAGACAATATGAGGTTTTGTACAGAAGAAGAAGTGGAGCACACCACTTTACAGACAACGCATATTTATACAGTTAGGTCAACCATGAATACTAACCAATAGGAAAGAACATTTTAAAAAAATATGTGAACTTGATAGTTTAGGACGACCTTAAATATTGACCAATAGGAATTAGACCTACAAAATAATTTCTTTAAAAAAATTTGATGAATATCCTAACCATTTCTCACATTATTGTGATTACAACAGAATAAAAAAAGGTAATAAAGATCGTTTTATTACCATTCTGTCAGTAATATCTCTGATATACCGTCAACTACTTGAACCCTAACCACAATAGGTAACTTTATCGCCTTTGTTTCAATGGAAATCCATATTTGAAAGGCATCGGGGAGTAATCTATCATCTTTTGATGAAAGAATTATTGTAGGATCAAACTTTTATCATAAGTAATATGAATTCATTAGCATATATTGTCTGTCCACATATTGGAGTGTGATCACTTCAAACAGACCACAACAAGTTTACAGAATTTAATTTTACACATCATAAACATTGACTATAACGAAATAGTGAATTAATCTCATAACTTGTCATTTGTTACTTCATACTGAACCTGTATGAACCTGTTTGACTATTAAGTCATGTCATTCAATTTCTAATTCTATTGTAAAAACAACTGTGTGTTCATCATGTTCACAACTAAGTAAATGATTAATAAAGTTGTATATTAAATTCCTGTCACTTCTACTTACTTACTTTACTTACTTACGCCTGTTACCCACAACGGAGCATAGGCCGCCCACCAGTTCCCTCCAACCAACTCTGTCCTAAGCTTCCCTCTCCAGTTCTGTTCAAATTTTGTTCATTTCTCTCATGTCTTTCTCTATTTCTCGGAGTAATGTGTTCCTTGGCCTTCCTCTTTTCCTTTGACTTTGAGGGTTCCAAGTGACGGCTTGTCTTGTGACGCAGTTCGGTGCTTTTCGTAATGTGTGTCCTATCCGCTTCCACCACTTCTTCCTGATTTCCTCCTCCACTGGAATCTGATTTGTTCTCTCCCAAAGTACGTTGGTGCTGATAGTGTCTGGTCAACGAATACGAAGTACTTTGTGAAGACAACTGTTAATAAACACTTGTATCTTCTGAATGATGGCTTTGGTAGTTCTCCAAGTTTCCGCTTCATACAGTAGAACTGTCTTCACATTTGTATTGAAAATCCTTATTTTGGTTTTGGTTGGTAGTTGTTTGGAGTTCCAGATATTTTTCAACTGTAGAAATGCAGTCCTTGCTTTGCCAATCCGCGCCCTCACATCTGCATCCGATCCACCTTTCTCGTCGATGAAGCAGCCCAGATATGTAAAGGTGTTAGCGTCCTCCAAGGCATCTTCCTTTATCAAGAGTGATTTGGTTGGTACATGTTGTGTTGCATCTGAGAATTTCGCTTTAACCTTTATGTATGTTGAGACCTACTGCTGCGGAGGCTGCTGCTACACTGGTCGTTTTCTCTTGCATTTGTTGTTGCGTGTGCGATAGAAGAGCCAGATCATCTGCGAAGTCCAGATCGTCCAGCTGCGTCCTAACTGTCCAGTTGATACCGTGCTTCCCTCCAGATATCGATGTCTTCATAATCCAGTCGATGACCAGGAGAGTCACTTCTACTTAGTTGAATAAATATTATCTTCAACTAAACTCAAAAATTAATGAATCCAATGATACCTTCAAAACGTAGGATGAGCGTTAAAAATTTTTTAACTATTTGTTCTATTGCTTATTACTGTTAAATTTTTTTGTTTCCTCGTGATACACAATTTGCCTCGTTTCTATATTAAATTAATCCTTATTTATGGGGTTTGTTGAGACTGAATAATTAGTTAGCTTTTGAAATCGTGAATCAATCAATGTTAGATCACCGTTAGAAACCTAGAAACACTTGACAGCTGTTTCATCCTAGTATGGGACTCGTCAACAGTGCTCACTGAAGACAGTGGATTAGGTTGCACAAGGTCATGAACTGATCGAAGTTAGACACTAACACCATTAGATACCCGCTTAATGGTCCAGAGATAAGGTATCCATGCACAAGACCGAAGGTCTTGAATCCGATTGTAAAGAGTATCAAGAGTCGCAGATGCGCACCACTGATGAGTCCCATACCATGACGAAACGGCCGTCCATGTTTATAATGGTAGTCAAACAGTAATCGATTCATGATATCGAAAAAAATCGATAATTTAACAATCAATTCTTGAGAAAATGAATGAATTATAAAAGTCAAAGTATTACTTGTAATGAGCTATAGCTCTGAATTTAATTTTACACTAAATTAATCTTGTTCATATTGTCAATATTTCAAGACGTAGTAATTTTCTTTTAACTTTTTCAAATTAACTAGTTACATCAAGTGGGGATTTAAATAGTCAATAACAATTCAATCTGGCCAACAAACAATAGTTACTGTCAATTTTTGGGGGCGTGAAAAACAGTATTTGGTCAACATCGGCAGTAGTAGTCGTAGGAGTATGACGGAGAAACCATTGAATGACAATAGTCGAAGAACAACTTATTCTTCTATTCAACAACATATTGAAAATTTAAATTTAAATCATTTGAATGAAGATGAACGTCAAAAAGTCTTAGCCGTTGTGAAAAAAGATTTCGAAGTACGTGCTAAAGAACGAGAAAGATTAAAGTAAGTATTTATTAAACTCTGAAAATGGTGGAAAAAATTTGTAACTCAGGTGGATGATTGTCGTGGTGTTTTTTTGCTCAGGTGGATGTTTTTGTGAAGTATTCGAATTTCTCCACGCTTGATCCGTAGCTTGTTCTGTTAAACTTAGTCTTGTCCGTAAACCTGTCGTGGTTTGCACCTTTGTTTTGATTGTATCCCCACTTTTGATCTGTTTCTTGATCCTGTGTCCCCTATGATTTTTCTGATCGGTTGATAAATTGGATCAATGTCGATGTGTTTGTTGATTGCTGATTGACCTGAGTACCAAGCTTCTAAAATTTCTTTAGTGTGCTTTGTCCCCCCCCCCCCCGCTATCCAGTATTTCCACATTGTCCCAATTGAATGTATGTCCATGATTGCACGTATGTATTTATATAAGCGAAGCGTTGTCGTGGCATTTGATTGATAATCAGTGTTCACGTAAACAAAGCTGAAGAGGCTGCCCTCTTTATCCTATAAAGTGTACTTCACATTCTGAAAAATTCATCAATCTATTAACACTTAGTATTCTTACAGACAATAATGTCAGTTACCAATAATCTAAGAATCTGTACAACTACGAACTGACTAACGTTTCCATAATATCAAATGGCAGAGTAATATATATATATATATATATATATACATATTGCAAAATGTGCTCACTAGTGACCAGCTTCGTGAGGAAATTCTGAGAGTCCTAGTGAGAAGACGTGACCAGTAGAGTTAAACCCTGTCGGGTGTAGGCAATAACCACCAATGACAAATTGGTGAGGTCGCACAAAATCTCTAGATTGATCAGAGTTAAACAATAATAATGTTGGATGCCGGCCTAGTTGTTCAGAAGTTGGTCGTTTGCTCACAAGATTGAAGGTCCTGTGTTCAAATCTTGCGAGGTGTGGGAGTCGTGGATGCGCAATGCTGATGATTCCCGCACCAGGACGAAACGGCCGTCTTCCAGTGCTTTCGGGTTTCTGATGTTGTTAGTCTAACAATGATTGACTGATGATTTCAAATGTGTAAAAACACTAATCTCTATAACTCTAATTGAAAATATATATATATATATATATATATATATATATATATATATATATATATATATATATATATATATATATATATATATATATATATATATATATATATGTTTATAGAAAGATGACAAAATGACAAAGGAAGAAAAACCAAATACCATCTACAAAATAAATTGCTCAGACTGAGAAAAACATTACATAGGACAAAGTGGACGGCCTCTCCATCTTCGTTTACATGAACACCAATTAGCTGTCAAATACCACAACAATTCTTCGCTTATATCAATACATACAGACAATTATGGACATACATTCGATTGGGACAATGTGGAAATACTGGATAGGGTGGTGGAACAAAGAACACTAGAGAATTTTTTAGAAGCTTGGCACTCAGGTCAATCAGCAATCAACAAACACATTGACATTGACCCACTTTATCAACCAATCAGAAAAATCATAGGCGGTATAGGATCAAGAAACAGATCAAAAGTGGGGGATACAATCAAAACAAAGGTGCAAACAACGACAGTTTTAAGGTCAACAACAACCAAACAAGATCGAGGGTAGCAGAACTAGCTACAGGTCAAACGTGGAGAAATTCTAATACTTCACTTCTTCTATCTGAAGTTTGTGCTGATGATGATGTTGTTCAGGAGAAGAACAATGAAAGCTCCACAACCAAAACAACATCCACAGCTCACAGAACGAAACACCACCACAATCATCCACCTGAGCTACAAGTTTTCTCCACCATCTCATTAAATGAAAAGCAAATTTATAAACTCTTGAAATCAATAATCACATATAAATTAATCAATATAAAAGCAAGTCAAAATAAAAAAGAAAAAAACTGGTCGAAAAATTATAAAATTAATTAATAAAATTTTCAAGATTTCAAAAAACACACACCAACTAATGAATGTCACCTAAATAGAAAAAGGTGCAAACCCGCATTATTCAAATCAATGATCGGAAACATTTCTACTACATTGATAATTCATTCAATATTGTAGTAGTGGTAGTAGTCCAGTTTCAAGCTTCATATTAGAATATTTACTAACATACTTGAAAAGTACAATATTTGATTAATAATTACCAGTAAATAGATCAATAGACTGATTCATTATTGATCATTGACAATAATCTCATGTTTGTAAAATCAATAACTTTGGGGCAGAGTTTCGGATGTTTGTGTTTTCACACATTTCAAACCATCAATCAATAATTGTTAGACAACCATCAGAAACCTGGAAGCACTGCGAGACGGCCGTTTCGTCCTGGTATGGGACTCATCAGTGGCAGTGCGCATCCACCACTCCTGCTCCTCGCGGGGTTCGAACCCTGGACCTTCGGTATTGTGCGCAAACGCCTAACCATTGGACCACTGGGCCTTCATTCAACTGATCAAGTTTCAATGTGGCCTAATAGTCTAGATGATTATGAACGAAAACTATTAGTATGTTTACAATAAGGTATAGATTGATGCCTCTAAAGTATATATCTTTGTGATAAGTTGAGATTATTCAGTTATTCATCAATCATTTGTGTTACTATTTTGTAATAGTTGTGTTTACACAGTATGCATCAAACTCATCCGTTAGTAATGTGTTATTTGATTTTATGGTTTGTTTGTTCATGAAAAGGTTATTAATACAAATAAGTTTCCTTTAGAATTTATTATCATTTTGAATTCACTAATTAAATGATGTAAAATCAAGGTAAACAAATATTTATATGTACATAAGGATCGGTCTCTGAGAGAGAGAGCAGCAGATGCATTCTGTATTCTGTTTAACCTGTAAGACAGATACAAGTGTTTATTAACAGTTGTCTACGCAAAAGACTTCGGATTCGTTGGCCAGACACTGTCAGTTACAACTTACTGTTGGAGATAACAAACCAGATTCCAGCGAAGGAGGAAATCATGAAGAAGCGGTGGAAATGGGTAGGACACACATTACGAAAATCACCTAACTGCGTCACAAGACAAGCCTTGACTTGGAACCCTTAAGGCAAAAGCAAAAGAGGAAGGCCAAAGAACACATTAAGCCGAGAAATAGAGAAAGATATGAGAGGAATGAACGAAAATTGGACAGAATTGGAAAAGGGAAGCGTAGGACAGAGTTGGTTGGAGAATACGGGTCGACGGCCAATACTCTATTGGGGTAACAGGCGTAAGTAAGTAAGTAAGTAAATAAGTGTAAGACAGTCAATCATGACAATAAAGACTATAGAATAGCAATTCGTTATTACAAAAGCCGTTAGCGTGCATAAATAAGTGATAACCCTTAATCTTTTACTAAAAATGATTATGGCAATGGTACACGTCACTAGTGACGATAATTTTCAGTCGATCAAAATGCAGATGATATCGATAATTGATAACATCACATGACATCGCTAACATTTTCAAGGTCATAATCGAGAATTCAATTCAGGTTTTGTGGTTGGGAATTTTGGTTCGGATTTAAGACTAGCATTTAGAAAGATTGGTTCGGAATGTAGTGACAGAATGCTTTGCAACCACATAAATGTATCATTGTGGAAATGATTCTTTGATTTTAAGCAGCAAGCAGCCTGAAGTTATCACCATTCTTCGCATTTTAAATTTCTATCATATTTAACATTATTTTTGAACAAAATCAAGTTTGATCTTAAGTTGTCTCTATTAGTTATGTTAAATATTACTACATTACAAGCAAGATTCATCTTCTCGTAAATCGACTTATCCAATAATTTATACTTTGTTGCACATTCAGTTCTCTGAATAAAATTTAAAATATTTCAGCAAGATTATCTCTTTATTTTCACACATTTGAAATCATCAATCAATCATTGTTAGACCACTATTAGAAACCTGGGAGCATTGAGAGACGACCGTTTCGTCCTGGTATGGGACTCATCAGTGACAGTGCCCATCCACGACTTGATTTGCACAGTTTCCACATTAAAAGTGTGGATTTTATGCATTTGCAACATTCCATCTAAATGATATGGGTGGTTAAAAGGGACAGGTAATCAGTTTCTGACAATGCACGTTGAATTGATAAGTACTAGATTATCATATGCAATTGCAAAAAGTACCTTTCATTCAGACAGTTTGAGGCTAGAAACTCAATACAGCTAATTAAGAAGTGTGACAAGAATAAATATCAGAGATGTCAAAATTACAGAAAACTTCATTCCTACATCTCTTGAAAATAAGAGCATCAACTTCTCGACATGAAATGACATGACAGTGTTAATAAGACTGGCAAATTGATAAGCCTTTTTCTGAATGTTTCTTTTACTAGTCCAAAAGTAGACTTTCGATTGGGCTTTAGAACTGTATTTTTGATCAGTAGAAGAGGAGTTCGTAGGTCAGAGACAACAAATTTAACGTACATATAATGATTGTCTTGTTTAACAAGTTATGAAATGATGACTCAAATTCTGTTTGTCTTATGAATAGCCATCAGATAGAAAGCTGGTGAGATACATTTATTTGTACACGATAGATGTGTAACTTACTTACTTCAGTTTTACTTTCGCCTGTTACCACCCCCAATGAAGCATAGGCCGCCCACCAGTTTTCTCCAACCAACTCTGTCCTTGGTTTCCCTTTTCAAGTTCCTTCCAGTTTTCGTTCATTCTTCTCATGTATTTCTCTATTTCTCGGTGTAATGTGTTTCTTGGCTTTTCTCTTTTCCTTTGACCTTAAGAGTTTCAAGTGAGGGCTTGTCTTGTGACGCAGTTAGATGCTTTCCGCAATCTGTGTCCTATCCACTTCCACCACTTCTTGCTAATTTACTCCTCTGCTGGAATCTGGTTTGTTCTTTCCCACAGTAGGTTGTTGCTGATGGTTTCTGGCTGACGGATCCGAAGTGTTTTCCATAGAAAACTGTGAATAAATACTTGTATTTTCTAGATGACGGCTTTTGTATTTTTTCCAACTGTATTGTGTTGAACATTCTAACTTTGATGTTTGTTAATAGTTGTTTGGAGTTTCAGATGTTTTTTGAATTGTAGAAATGCAGCCCTTGTTTTGACGATCCGCTCCCTCACATCTGCATCGGATCCAGATATGTAAAGATGCTGACATCCTCCAAGTTATCTCCACCAATTGTGATTTGGTTGATGTATGTTGTGTTGATAGATGTATAACATTGATTTTTAATTTATTCTGTATAGAGAAATGAGAAGACATATTTTGTGAGATAGTGGTACCACTTCGTGTTTTCTCGTCAGTCACATACATACAAGCAACAGGTTATTTGTGTGAATACAGTTTTGAAGATAAGGTCAAAATTTCTTATTTAGCATAATATCCACTCACTAGAACCATGGTAACCATTGGAACATATTCCAAAATGGCTAATCAAATCCATGTTTCATCAACCCAGCCCATCATCTGAAAATCGATCAAGAAACCCAGCCTCGTCCATTGCAAAACATCTAATGATGAGTGGTCATCAAATTGACCCAAAATCAGCCTTTATAGAGTTGTGACATGTCATCAAAACCCACACACACTGAAACTACTCGAAGCTATCTTGATTGGTCGGAAAAGCCCAAGTTTATGTGTTCAAAAACAACTGTATGTTGACCTTTGTTTACCACGGTTCTTCTAGTGAGTGAATAATATCATGCTAAATAAGAAATTTTGACCTTATCTTCAAAACTGTATTTACACAAATGACATGTTGCTTGTATGTGACTGACGAGAAAGCACGAAATGGTACTACTATCTCACAAAATATGTCTTCTTATTTCTTTATTCAAATTTATTCCTGTATAGTTTTATTAACATTTTCAATTGTACTACATATTTCTATTTCATTGATCTGTTTTGTTTACTTTCCAATAAATCAACACAACCAACTATCAATTTTAGCCGATATCGTTCAAGTATTTTAAGACGAGACAGAGAATTAGCTGCTAAAAGTTTAACATCAGCCACTGAAAGTACATCTTGTTTATTATGTGGACGAGCATTTATACTTTTCATTAATCCTAAACGTATATGTTTCAATTGTCAACGTGATATATGCCAAAATTGTTCACAATCTGTCAATGCATACAATGGATACTTTTGTAAAATGTGTTTAAAAGAAAAGTGAGTTCAATTATTTTTTATACATTTTTATACATATGTGGATGCCGGCCCAATAGTTAAGCTTTCGCGCACAATACCGAAGGTCACGGGTTCGAATCCTGCGAGGTGCAAGAGTCGTGGATGCTCATTGCCACTGATGAGTCCCATACCAGGACGAAAAGGCCGTCCAGTGCTTCCTGGTGTTTGATTGATGATTTCAAATGTGTAAAAACACTAATCTCCATAACTCGAATTGTAAATAAATTCTCTATATTGTAAAATATTTCATTATATATTCGGCTGAGTAGGATAGCTGGCAAAAAACAACTCAAGCAACAGTTTATAGTTTATTTTTCTCAGTATAACAATCATTCATTTTAAAAATTACATTAGAACGCAAGGAACAAACCAATTCACTGAATGAATAAAAGTTTTGATCAAAAGAACTGATCCAAAACTTGATCACAATCAAGATTCTTCCGGTTTTTAGAAGAAATAGATATTGATCAATGTATATTTGCCAAACATGCATTGAAAACCTGAAGCTAACTATTTAAAAACATTGAAAACATTGAATCGATCATTATTAGACCACCATTAGAAACCTGTAAGCCGTCAATGGCCATTTCGTCTTAGTATGAGACTCAACATTAGTGAGTATTCACGACTCCTACACCTCTCAAGCATTAAATCCCGGATTTTCGGTCTTGCGTGCGAATGTTTAACCTCTAGACCAGTGAGCCGGCATCCAACAGTGTTAATGTCTAAATCAAAGAATCAAAAACAAAATAGATTCAAATGGGCTAAAGTTAAACGGAAGTTTGATAAGTAGGCATCTTACTATTCGAACTAAATTATCTTACGATTTTTCATAAAAGAGTTATGGGAATTGTTGTTTGTTACGGAATCCTGAAAGCTTTAGAATGAAGTTTCGTCCCGGGGTGGGACTCATAACCAGTGAAGCTCAACCTTGTCGAATATAGGTACTAACTAGTGAAGACAATGGGTAAGATTGTGAAAAACCTTGGATTGATTAGAGTTAGACATTAACGCCGTTTGATGCCAGCCCAGTGTTCCAGGTTAGGTGTTCACGAGCAAGACGGAAGATCCTGGGTCCAATTGCTGCGAGTAGCGGAGTTGTGGATGTGCACTGTTGATGAGTCCCATACTAGGATGAAACGGCGGTCCAGTGCTTCCAGGTTTCTAATGGTGGCCTAAAAGTGATTGATCTATGATTATAATAATGAATAATTTTACTTTGAATGGATAAATTTTTTCTCTCATGAACGGATTGTAACTGGAAATGACAAAGAACCTCTTCTTTACCGATGATATCAGTTTAAAATCTGATTAACGGCTAACTTAACTGCTAAACATAAAAATTCATCAGTCGGATGATTGATCTAAATGAGCACTATAAACTCTCATTTATTTTATGATTTCACGGACTTTGTTTCGCGCGAGGATTTGGCATACTTTCAAAGCGACAAACTGTCAAACTGTCTTTCAACCTATGATAACCTTTAATCCACTGGACCAACAGACTTGGTTGGCTAGAACTGACACCATCACAGTGTAGGCAACGGAAAACAAATGCAATAAACATGAGATTTGAAAAGTTTTACTTTTAATAAGTGAACTATTGAAGCAAAAACCTTTAACCACTTTACATCCTAAAGCTGCACTTCATATTAAATTGCTAAGACTAATTGTTACTCTGAATACTTGATCGACAGAATTCAATCAGCACTAAATGTCTAGATAAACAGGACGCTGATCACCATTCAGTGATTAGTCGGTTGAAAAAAAACACTTTGATTGTTCAATGAGACTCGTGAAACGTTTCTGGAATGATTACAATATGATTTTGAAATATAAACTGCATCAGACAACTAAAGTTCTTCTGTTCAATGGTTATTCCTTTCCTCTGTGCTTAATGAAAAGTAGGTTTTTTAGTAATATGATCCAATGAGATTTTGTCAGACTTGAATTGAATAAACCGCTACTGGGTTAAGAGAATGATCAAGTCAAATTGTTTTAACCAACATAATCGTAAGTATCTGTTACCCGTAATCTCTAAAACAGGAAGTCAGCCTATTGCAACATAGAACATCCTATGTAAGTACATCAGCTCATGTTGCCATACCACATTAGCACATAGACGCAAATGTCAATTCAAATCCCATAGTGGTAGAGATAGCAGAATAATTACTGCTTATGGAGAAGATTAGGGGTTGGAGATATGATTCGAAAGAGAAAGATAAAGGTGATTAGGAATTCAGGAGATTAGAATTTGAGAGAAGATAAAGAATGGATGCACCGGAGCCATTGCAAATGATTTTGAGCCATGTCATTCAAGGTCTCTAACCATCGGTTATTATCATCTCGCAGACTCCAACCCAGTAGTTTACACTTATCAACATCACTCAGTCCACTTGTCAGTGACTTCAATAATTTCTGACAAGTGGAAACAGGAATTATCAAGAAATGATTCTAAGAAACCTTTCTTGCAAACACTAATTTAGATTAATTATGATTTTTCATCAACTACCGAATTTCACAGTCTAAACACCAAAACATTAGTCAGTATTAAAATGGTTGTAAGTCAAAAAATTTTACAAAAAAGTTGACAGGCAAGAGAATGTGTGTAGCTTATCATCACTCTCACAAAATATAGCGAAATCACTAAGTCACTGAATCGATTTATATTTACTGGTCAATACAATTTGTCAACTGATTTGATATAATTTTACAACTTCTATGTTTATCATTATAATTTTCAGAGACTATCGTGCAATGACATGTTATTGGTTTTATGATACAGTAATTCAACGATTCAGAGAATTTGGAAGTACAACTGTTGCAAAAAGTTTATTTGGATTAAAATATTCACGTAAGTTAACCAGAAAGTTTAATTTAGAAAGACAAAAAAAATAGCTAATCTAGCACTCTCTCTCTCCATATCCTTGTTTCAAACATGAAGCCAAACATGAAGTTAAGGTGTTATGTTCGTCACTAAGTATGCTTGAGGCTACTATTACGAGTTTACCTTAGTCAATAAACGCGAACGAGACAATTACCAGCATCCAGGTAGGTTTTGTAAGCGTAGAAATTATATTCTACAAACACCCAGCAATGACACAATACAATCAAGCCTACAACTCTCGTTTATTTATAGATCATAGAAACGTCCTTGGGACAGTTAAGAAAATAGCACACTAAAATACACAGCAGCCAATCACAGCCATGGATGGATTTTGCTGGTGGGAAATGAAATCTCAAGGTCAACTGATCAGTCCATGCTGGCAAACGTAGAATCCAAAATAAGGCATTTAACAAGCGAGTTTTGGGGATCTAACATCCCCAACATAAGGTGATAACAATATATGTTACATCATTGCCAAACACATAACTTCATTCTAGTGAGCATAGCAGAAGGTTGAAAAAAGGCTAGAAGCGATTTAATCAAGATATGGCATTAGCCGACTAAATCTACCCAGCTCCAACTGCTGCAGTTTGGTTAGTCAAGATCTTTGAGATAATTTAAATGACTGGTTGGAAACAGATAAATAATATTCTCAGCAGTTGAACTGAATTCATTGTCTCTTCTGACAATTAATCCCACATCCAAGTGAAGGTATAAATTATCCATACCTAGTTTATTCGTTCTTATAGAACTTTACTTTCGCACAAACTTGAAGTGCTACACTAACCGTGGAAACAGAAAACGAGTGCCCCGTCTTACTTTAAAGTTATCAGCCAGATATAATAACATCTTATTCTTGATGATGACATTTAATCTTTAACCCAAACATTGGCATTCATGTACATCTAGCTGATGAGTCCTTAACAAGATTTCATGGGTATTCGCAAACCAGATGTAATGAAAATATCAAACTAGAAAACAACATCATCAGAATAAACAACTAACAATAGAGAATGATCAATTGTATTCTTGAACAATAGAAAATTACAAATCCTCACACAGAGAATTTTCTTATCTTTTGTTTTCTACTTTGATTTATCAATAAATGAAAAAACTACTATTTACCTACAAGTTATCATGTCTTTACTGATAATTACTTTGAATAATAACACCTGAATAATATGGATCTGTCAGTCAGTCACTTGCAAAGTAGAACTTCATATGTATGTACGTACGTCAGTTCAGGCTGCCATACCACATAAGCACAGAAAGGATTTGGTTGTGACCAATTTGGTCCCTTGGGCTGTTACAGATATGAGGGCGGATATCACTTCCCGGCTGCCTAGAACATGGAATGGTGTTTCCTGAAAATGAGGAAAAATTAGCGTCCTGAGAGTGTGACCACAGAGTCCAACGGACAACTGCTTGAGGACGGTCACGCGCGACCTCTTTATGATGATCTTTTAAAGTGTTAGCTTCGCTCTTGTTTAAAAGGCCTTACAGCCGGAGAAGGAAATCCGTGACGTAAGGTAAGATGTGACATTCTAACGGTCAACCTCTTTTAATCCCTGCCTTGTGAGAAGGTAGCATTGCTGCAGATACTGGTTGTCCGAGGAAAAAAACCTTACTGCCATCAAATCCCTCTACAGTTAGCAGTACAACTTCTCCCTCAAACCTTGAGTAGCTGCTTTTGGTCTTATCGTTCTCTAATCGACCTGCCTAGCATATGTTTCAGCCAATATAGCTCAGTTTGGTCATCACGATAGGCAAGCCCGATCACCATGTCAAGGTTGCAGCTACAGTCAGACAATCAGAGATAGAAGTTAAAACATAATGACATTCTCGTTAACACGGGTAAACATGACGTAAATTCCTTTTTCCTGTACTTTGTATGTATTAAAGTGTTTTTTATACCAATGTGCTTATTGATCAACGGTTGCAATATTGATCTTAAACTAAGTTATTTGTTTCTGAGCATCATAAAAAAATACTCCGATGAATGCACGTGATCAGTCTTACCAGATAATATGCATATACACATACGTGAGCATAAAAAACGCGAACTCAGGGGTTATAAAAATCGACAATAAAGATAACACGTTAAACACTGACAATGACACTGTGCGACAGATTATCTAGTCTATTCCAATCATATATTCGACAATTTCCACCATAATCTTTTTCATTTTAAAGGTTTACCAAGCTCTAAATCTAAGTAACATGACCACTGACGAGCATCGTCTACACTTTGGCGACGATACCACGTTAAAAACACCGGTTCTCGTTCGGTCACCGAATAATATGGGTAGATTTTATTTGCATTACGGGGTTGTGAAGATTGTTAAGTTACACATTTTTGAAACCATGAATCGACCAATGTTAGACCACACCATTAGAAACCTGGAAGCAATTGACAAACGTCTCGTCCTGGTATTGGACTCCTCCTGCACCCCACAGGATCCGAACCTAGGGCCTTCGGTATTGGGCGCGAACGCCCTAAATGTTAGACCACTGAGCCGGTATCTAGCGGTGTTAATGTCTAACTTGATCAATTCACGGAGTTGCGCAACCTCATACACAGTCTTTGGTAGTGGTTACTATCTACACCCAAATAGGTTGAACTTCACTGGTCACATCTTCCTACCAGAACTCGGAGAAGATTCCTCACGAAGCTAGTCACTAGTGAGCACAGGTAATTTACATTACGGGGTTGTTGTGAAGATTGTTAAGTTACACATTTTTGAAACCATGTATCGATCAATGTTAGACCACACCATTAGAAACCTGGAATCAAATTAACTTCGTAAGTTGAAAATAAAAAATTACGATGTGTGATTTCAAGCGCTGATGGAAGTGAACAACATCAATGAAACAAGATGAAAACCTCTGAAGCTGAAAATATTCATCAACGAACTTTGACGCAATAGTTTAATCTCATTATTATTTGCATAGCTGGCGCATTGGAAGGTTCAAGTTTCAATTTTTTTGATTAATATTTACTGAAGATGAAATCAGAGATTAATTTAAAGTAGGGATGTAGTGCTCCTCGCTTCTGACTAGTTTTTTTAACAGTCAAAATCAACATGTGATAAGGAATCCATTGATGTGAATAATTGGGAAACTTCAAGATATATTTGAAATTATTTTTACACAAATATTGAAAGTTTTAAAAATCATAAAAATCAATACGGTCATATTGTAGTGAAGGAGAGCACAGGTGAGGTCAACCGAATTGTATTTAACGCGAATTACAGAGTTACTCAGTAAAATAGGAAAACCATATCGTAAATCGTTCATTTGTAAATCTTCAATCCATCATCAATCCATTGTCTGACATTTCACTACTGTTTATGCGCTTCATACAAATTCCATTGTGTTCTTCTAACTCTTCCTTTCTTGATCTTCCCCCCTATCTTCTGCTGCCAGACATTACGTTTACACTCACGTCATATACTACTTATAAGTAGCGCGCACCACAATATTTCTAGAATAATCTCAAAAAGAACAGTTGATCGAAAGCATGGTCATTTTGAAGTAAACATCAAAGTAAACATCGATCGGTTTACAGAGTAAATTGCTCTTTTCTCCATAGGCTTGTTTCCGCATAGAGGTACAAAGCCTCAATATAGTTTTATTCCACTGTTGTATTGAAGAACAATAAAGATAGTTGTAACAATCTTTCGCAATGAAAGGTCTGATATTGTCTTCTAATAATTCCTGTTTTTTTTCAATGTAACATAAGATATTGAATGAGAGGTTGATTATATTTATGGTTAGTTGTTGCTAATGTGCATTCTCACTTCTAAATATTGCATCAGTAGTATATCTCCACTTATATAGCAGTAGTATGAGCTAAGAAAAGATTTTCAAATTGTTGCGGACGTTGGATTGCCAACAACTCGCTTGATAAATGCCTTGTTTTGGATTTCACGTTTGCCAGTATAGGCTGATCAGTTGACCTTGAGATCACATTTCACACCAGGAAAATCCTTGGCAGTGATTACTTACTTACGCCTGTTACCCACAATGGAGCATAGGACGCCCACCAGTTTTCTACAATCAACTCTGTCCTAAGCTTCCCTTCCCAGTTCTGTCCAATGTTTGTTCATTTCTCTCATATCTTTCTCTATTTCTCGGTGTAGTGTGTTCCTTGGCCTTCCTCTTTTGCTTTTGCCTTGAGGGTTCCATGTGAGGACTTGTCTCGTGACGCAGTTAGATGCTTTTCGTAGTGTGTGTCCTGTCCACTTCCACCGCTTCTTCCTGATTTCCTCCTCCACTGGAATCTGTTTGGCATTCTACCAAAGTAATTTGCTGCTGATGGTGTCTGGCCAACGAATCCGAATTATTTTGCGTAGACACCTGTTAATAAATACTTGTATGTTCTGGATGATGGCTTTGGTAGTCCTCCAAGTTCCCGCTCCATACAGTAGAACTGTCTTCACATTTGTATTGAAAATCGTGATTTTGGTTTTGGTTGAAAGTTGTTTGGAGTTGCAGATATTTTTCAACTGTAGAAATGCAGCCGTTGCTTTGCCAATCCGTGTCCTCACATCTGCACCGGATCCACCTTTCTCGTCGATGATGCTGCCCAGATATGTAAAGGTGTTAACGTCCTCCAAGGCATCTCCATCAAGAGTGATTTGGTTGGTGCATGTTGTGTTGCATCCTAGAATTTTGCTTTTTCCTTTATGTATGTTGAGACCTACTTCTGCAGAGGTTGGCAGTGATTGGCTGCTGTGTATTTTAGTGTGCTATTTTCTTAACTGTCCCAAGGACGTTTCTGTTATGTATAAATAAACGAGAGTTGTGTGCTTTATTGTAATGTGCTTGTTGGGTGTTTGTAGAATATACTTTCTACGCTATCTCAAGATTTTTCTTTAGCAGTTTTCGAATCTGGGTAGCCTATCTGGACTCTGGTTCATTTTCTCTTTCGCGTTTATCGACTAAGGTGAACTCGTAATAGTTTCAAGTATACCTAGTGACGAACATAACACAAGCAAGCATACAGTGCGAATAATCACTGTCAATACATATTGACACGATTCATCAAAATGAAAGATTATCAAAAATTTTAAAACATCATTAAGTGAATAGCCTTAAAAAGAAAATTATAAAATGTCAAGCTTGAATTACTTTTCCTCTAATTGATGGTAATATTTACACAAACATGATTCTGAAAGAAAACATGATTTCCATTGTGACAACAAATCTAGAATATGCATTACGGGGTTGTGAAGATTGTTAAGTTACACATTTTTGAAACCTGCGGGATGCAGGAGTCGTGGATGCGCACTGTTGAGGAGTCCCATACCAGGACGAAACGGCCGTCCAGTGCTTCCAGGTTTCTAATGTTGGTCTAACATTGATCGATTCATGGTTTCAAAAAATCTGGAATCGGTATGTGTTTTTCTTAGTCGAATTCAATATTCCGCCTTATCTGATTTCAAAATTCAATGTAATGAATTGCATGTACAATAATGGGTTTGAAAAAACGATCTAATGAAATTTGTACATCACATGATCACTTTGATCAGTGTCAATTTTAGCCTAAAATCATTATTAAATATTTTTGTAATTCAAGGGGATTCATTTTGATAATTAATTACTTCCGATTCATTTCCTTCCGGATAAGATGAATTAATTGGAAACATTTCATTCTTCGTCATAAAAACATAATTACTGATGATAGTCAATGTTTCGTTTTATTTATTTTGGCAAGTACAGTTTGACATAATTAATGAGTTTTGTAGTGGTTATCGACAGTAAACTCATAAAGCTAGATGTACCTTGTCATTAAGAAGTGCATACAGAATATAAGCGAATTGATGCTTCCTTTCGGATTCCAAATTTCACCTTCCAGCCAAACAGTATGAGATGTTATAAGTACATTTTACTGGCTAGAACAGTCAGTCACTGTAGGATACAAACTAAGGTTTGGAATGAGGAATAACTGTCTAAGTAGTTTCGATTCACGACTTGTCCAGTTTAAAACCAAAAGTGATTTGGATAAATGACAGTTCTATTATTCACCATAAATATAAATATATTCTTGGTTAACCATCATGCTTGTTGCACGTACACGCCGCTGCATTTTTAACAGCACAAGGATTCTCACAAGAACCAATATTACGATCACCGTTGACCCATACGGAACGTACATGTTGTCTACATTGGTCTGCAGACAAGTGGTTTACTAAAAAACACGCTCACGAGCAGTGGCCCCCGTTCGGGCACTTATGAATCAACTCGATCCCTCCAACCAATCCACTACCCACAATCCCCGATCGGCAAGGGGGGGGGGGAAGGCGGGCTTTCCCAGATAGACCTGGCGCCCCGAACGGATTACTGAGCCATCCAGCATTGCACTAACCAGCAACCTTCTAGCCTCCAACTGCCTTGCTCTGATACAGTCGACCGGAGCCCTCAGACCACACATAAAGCTAAAGATCGAGTTTGTCCCGCAAGGCCAGCCGGAACGTAGAATATTACCTAAACAAATATTACCGCTCAGTTATTCCACCAACAATTGTTCAATTAATCAAATCTAGAACAGCAACAAATAAATGTTATTCTATCCTTTCTGGATAGATCAGATTCGTTCGACAGATAATATTTGGTTATTTTATAACACATGATGTTTCCTATTCTGAAAAAATGCTTCAATTCACAATCAAAATGCACAATTCCAGTTAGTGCAACCAATCCAATCAAAAGAGGAACAAATCAATATGGCTGTAGCCATGACTAAGTACCAGCTTAAACGACATAGTGCAGTTCAGAAAGAAACATAGAAACTCAGTAAAGGCAAAAGAAATAGAAACCATCATAAAATACAAATATTATCATCTCAAAATGGAATTGAACAGATTAACAAAATGCACAACTGAATGAATCAATAAGAACAAATGACAAATGCATACATGCATAGAGGGATTTTCACAAACATAGCCTTCAAAAAATGGATCTTACAGTCACCTCACTCGAAAAAAATTATTTGCACAGATTGATTACTGAGTAGTAACCGGCATCGTGTTGACTTGATCTCCTAAACTTGATGTAATCCCACCGATCATCTTATAATATTACCTCTATTCTTAGTTGATTTGTCATCACCCGAACTACGATTTCCTAATAAATAGATGGCACAACTTTCTGTCACAGAAGAAAAAGAAAACTTTCATGGTTTGCGTCAAGTGTTAGATACTGGGCAAGTCAACATTAATTCTAGGTAGATATAAGTTGCACACAATCAAATGTGTTTGCAAATGGAGCGAACAGACAGCGTCGATAACATAACGTCACTAAAGTTATCGTAGATGAGAAATGAGTTTTAATATATGGAACTGCCTATTAGTATATAGGATTATTGAGATATTCCGATTTAAAGTTTTATCTTGCAAAAAGACTTTATTTAGAGAACCAATGAAAACACAAGCTATTCAGTAGCTATTTCCTTGTAGAATGATTCTACTTTAAAAAATGCACATTTAAGACCATCCCCCCCCAAAAGTCGAAAGCTGGACCTTCAAGCCCTCCAGTAAACATTTGACTGTCACAAGACCGAATGAACAATGGTGATCCTTCAAATGTAATCGATTTTTTATATGATTCAACCATAATTCAGTGTTATCCATGACTAAATATATCATAAATGACGTGATCAAATCTCACCATGCACAACTCCTCACTGAAATTCCGAGAACTACTCACTTGTATGTACATCATTAACATAAGTATGGGGGTTAGTGAGAGTCATTAGTTTGTTAGGAAGGATTGATAGTGTGTTTTTTTTTACTTCTAAATGACCTAAATAGAATTCATATCATTATGCACAATCAGAAAGTCTTTGTTTATTATTGTATATTTGGTAACATGTTTTGGTTACATCATCCAACTAAATTTGAATTATGAATTTTTTGTATACTTTAGAAGTTCAAAATATGGCTGAAGAAGAACTATGGAATCTTTTATTTCGATCTTCATCATCTAAAAAGAATTCAGTGGAATATAGTATGTTTTTTTCGTTAGTTTGTTTGTACAATTTTTCTTATATGTATATTTTTCCAATGACAAGTTATTGATTTTTTTTGCGATATTGTTTTCACACATTTGAAATCATCAATCAATCATTCTTAGACCACACCATTAGAAACCTGGAAGCACTGAGAGACGGCTGTTTCGTCCTGGTATAGGACTCATCAGCAATGCGCATCCACGACTAATGTACCTCGCAGGATTCGAACCCGGGACCTTCGGTATTGTGCGTGAATTCTTAAACATCGGACCACTGGACCGGCATCCAACGATGTTAATGTCTAACTCTGATTGATCTACGGATATTGCGCGACCTCACCCATTTGTCTTTGGTAGTTACTGCCTACTACACCCGACAGGGTTGAACTCCATTGGTAACGTCTTCTCACTAGTAGAGCTCCGAGAATTTCCCCACGAAGCTAATCACTAGTGAGCACTGTTACTATATTTTGGGGCAGAGTTTTGGAGGTTTGTGTTTTTACACATTGATGATTTCAAATATGTAAAAACACAAACCTCCAAAACTCTGCCTGAAAATATTGTTTACATTTAAATGTATCTTATCAATTCAGTGAATACAGGTTAAATTGTCTATGATGTCAGAATGGAAACGAATTCACAAGTGAAATAAAATCATCATCGTAAGAATAATTCAACTCTGTAGCTTTTTTTAAATCATACCATTAATTAGGCAAATGCAATTGATTTAGGAGTCGATATAAAGATATTGTCCAGAATAACGATGAGAGCTGCTCATTCAGCACCATCTAACCCTATAGGATTTTACTGCTATCCCGAAATTCCATCTACTTCAAATTAACTTGTGTGTGTTACGCATGCACGTCAACACGTCATTTGAGATGCCTGAACTATTACGAGTTTATCTTAGTCGGAAAACGAGAGAGAGGATCGAGGATCCGGCGACACAACAGGCTACTCTAATCCGAATATGCCAACCCCTATTGAGTAAAGAAGAAGACTTGATATGAAGTAGAACGTGTATTCTGCAAGCATCCAGAAAGTACGAGGTCCGAGTATAGAAGAGAATCAGGATCACGGACTGAGGATTTGAGTCCGAGTCATAAAACATTACAGTTAGGTCGAACAACATTGAAGTCTGTGTCATTAACAGTTAGGACGATCAATACGAGTTGACCAATAGAATTAGACTTACAAACAATTATCTTAGTATATTGGATGAATATCCTAACAGTGAGTTCATGACTATATCAAAACAATCTGTATATATTTGCCAACCAAGACCGATCGGATTTCTATCAAAAGTGTTAACAAAAGGATAATCCAAGCCATTTAAAAACTGAAATACTTTGAATTGATTCCAACGAAGTATTTTTGTACATGTAATGTATTTCATATATTGTTTTGGAAATCTGATCAAACCTAGTGGATTAGTTAGTGTCTGACACAATCCCGCTACAACTTTAGAAAGCTTAGTTGGTTTTTGTCAACTAAAGGTCGAATTTACTGAACAACAGTTTACTCTGTCCTACTCTATGGATGACAAAACATAACATGTTAAAATATGTATTCCTAGGTATCTTCGAAGCACTGGCAGTATAATTAAGATCTATCTAGTTTGATGAAATGTTATGCTCGTCACTTGCTATCCTTGAAACTATTACGAGTTTACCTTAGTCGATAGACAAGAATGAGACGGTGAATCAGTGACACGTTATATTACTCTGATCAGTTGCCCCATGGGAACCTACGAAAAAGTCTTGATATAGTGTAGAATGTGTATTCTACAAACACCCGGCAAGCACAATTCAATCACATATAACACCCATCTGCCAACCAACTATCTCGAATGCGCAATGACGGCTGATACAATAGACTGGAAGAGAGCCAGGGACAGCCAAACCAATTTATGATGGCATCAGACCATGAAGATATCGACCGTTGATCTGAACCACACAAGCGGCTGCAGATATACTCTACATGTTTATCGCAACTCTAGTGCTTATAGGAGGCTTAGAATGACATCACTGAAAATTGTTTGCAATAATGCAGATGTATTCATTCATTGTTTTCCCGTAAGAAGCTAAGTGTTTTGAATTCCTCACACATTTTTGTATTATTATTAATATTTGAGTAATTAAGATCGTTTTCTCGAATCCTGTCTTCTACCTGTGGTGCGAGCTACTTATAAGTAGTATATGACGTGAGTGTCAACGTAATGTCTGGCAGCAGAAGATAGGAGAAGATCAAGAAAGGAAGAGCTAGAAGAACACAATGAAATTTGTATGAAACGCATGAATAGTAGTGACAATGGATTGATGTTTTGCAACAGGAACAGTCCAGTTCGATATGATGGACTGATATTTTGCAAATTAACGATTTACGATATGGTTTTTCAATTTTACTGAGTAACTCTGTAGTTTTCGTTAAATACAATTCGGTTGCCCTCACCTGTGTTCTCCTTCACTACATACCTACTATCGTCTACATACACTATCATGGTGTAAATCCTATAGTAAATAAGCACAGACATTAAAATCGTTGACATATCTTTCTTTTGTATCGATCAGTAGTATTTAACGAATGACAAATGCGCTTCAATTATAAAAAAAACGATTATCTTGACAATCCTTTACACCATCTAACAAAAACAACCCACTTAACAGCACACATTGAAAAAAATACCCTTTTTCATCAGCTGATTTATTCATCATTCTTAAGAAGAAAAAATTAATATTTTTTTTAATTTTTTTTTTTACTTAGAAGAATCCAATAAGTCGTATTCGGTTGATGAAGCTAAAATAGCACAAATTAACAAATTACGCAATCGATTAGAAAAACTTATGGAAGAAACTTTAGCTGAATTATGTGCGATTGAAAAGAATAATTCATTATCACCAAGACAAATTACATGGCAACGTAAGTTATTATGATCGATAATAATGTCGCTCTATTGAAATCATGTCGAGGAAAAACACTATTCGAATAAAATGATGTGCTTCATCAGTTAATTATTTCTGTTAGGATATTTATCCAATATCTTAAGAGAATTATTGGTCAATTCCTATTGGTTAATTCCTACTGGTCAATTTTATGATCGTCCTAGATATCAATGTCACATACTCCAATGTTGTTTCTTATTGGTTGTCCTGACTATCAAGGTCACTTCAAATGTTGCTTCCTATTGGTCGTCTTAACTATCAATGTCACAGACTTAGATGCTGTTTCCTATTCGATCAAGGTGTATAAATACGCATTATCTGTAACGTGTTATGACCACGACCATGACCAGGGCTCTGTCCCGGATCCCTAGTCCGGGATTCTGATTCTCTTCTGAATTCGGACCTCGTACTTTCTGGATGCTTGTAGAATACAGGTTCTACTTAACATGTCGTGTCACCGGATCCTTGATCCTCACTCTCGTCTTCCAACTAAGATAAACTCGTAATAGTTCGAGTATATCAAGTTGGCGTGTTTACCTGCAGGCGTAACAATTTCTAACCTACTGGATTGTAAGAAATTTTGTAGGTTTATTCACAAGTATTGTGATATTTCAGTAATCTGCTCGGATCTATTATCAATTCATTTAAATCATAAAGCATTTTAAGCTCTTTTTTACATCATTTGAATAAAACATGCAATGGATTATGGAGAGTAAGTCAGAAGTGTTCGACTGAGAAGGGTACTGGATGTCCCAACAAAAATAGACGAATGTTTATAATCGATCAAGCAATGGACTGGCTTTTTCCAAAGGAAAAAACTATATATATATATATATATATATATATATATATATATATATATATATATCCCCTTAATCTTCCACCCTTAGTAGTCAGTTTAAGGGATTAGAGCGTAATGCATTCAGAATTCGCTCACCATACACAGTGTGACATGACTCCTCTCTCAAGAGACGATTATTTATTTTATTTCGCTGCTCTATTTATGCATACTAGTCAATAATTGAAGAGTAATTTCAATTAAAAGGCTAATATTATTTATTAGAAAGAACATCTGAAACAATAGTTTTGCGATGATTTTGATATGCTCGTCGTTGATGTACTTGAAACTATTACGAGTTCACCTTATTCGATGAACGAAACAAAGAGCAATGGCTCGGCGACATTAAGGGGCTATTCTAATCCGTTGTCGTTGGTCCTGCTAACTAGATCAAGAAGTCTTGATAAGGAGTAGAAAGTGTATTCTACAAGGACCTAGAAAATAGGAAGTTGCTAAGCGCACAAATCAAGCTTATTTATACAATGATAGAAACTCCCTTATGAGAGCCACATAATAGAGTACTAAAGAAAATGCGTCACTCAATAACAGTCAAAGATTTTCCGAGTGGGAAATGTTAAGCTGTAGGTCAATTAAGCGTCTCTTGACGCAAAAACATAAAAATTCAAAATTTTAGGATGAAATTACAAAATTTTGGACCTTTTCCAAGTGAGTTCTGGAGATCTAACCTCTCAAACAAATTTCTAATGGCTATTTAAAATCACTTGAGGAATGCTTTACTAAATAAAGAGTGGTAAATAGCTAATTTTCATCTCTTCAGTTGATGATTACAAATGAGATTATCCTAAATCCTGAAAATGAATGTCATCAGTAAGTAATAATAATAATAGTCATCTCCATATCAGTGATTATCCCAGAGGTGAATTTTACAATAATATTGTGTGATACAATAATACTCTGTGTAACTAGACAAACTAAGTATTCGATACAGTGACTCAGAGATAGTAATGTTACAGAACACCACTGTATCATGAAAAAACTGACTGTGATCAAAAAAACAGTAAAGCCATTCCCTCTTCACTCAACGAATACAAGAGAAGACGACCAGTGTAGCAGCAGTCTCTGCAGCAGTAGGTCTCAACATACATAAAGGAAAAAGCGAAATTCTCCGATGCAACACAACATGCACCAAACAAATCATTCTTGATGGAGATGCCTTGGAGGACATTAACACCTTTACATATCTGGGCAGCATCATCGACGAGAAAGGTGGATCCGGTGCAGATGTGAGGACACGGATTGGCAAAGCAACGGCTGCATTTCTACAGTTGAAAAATATCTGCAACTCCAAACAACTTTAAACCAAAATCAAAATCACGATTTTCAATACAAATGTGAAGACAGTTCTACTGTATGGAGCGGAAACTTGGAGAACTACAAAAGCCATCATCCATAAGATACAAGTGTTTATTAACAGTTGTCTACGCAAAATACTTCGTATTCGTTGGCCAGACACCATCAGCAACAACGAACTGTGGGAGAGAACAAGTCAGATTCCAGTGGAGGAGGAAATCAGGAAGAAGCGGTGGAAGTGGATAGGACATACACTACGAAAAGCACCCAACTGCGTCACGAGACAAGTCCTCACATGGAACCCTCAAGGCAAAAGGAAAAGAGGAAGACCAAGGAACATATTGCGCCGAGAAATAGAGAAAGATATGAGAGGAATGAACAAACATTGGACAGAACTGGAGAGGGAAGCCCAGGACAGAGTTGGTTGGAGGAAACTGGTGGGCGGCCTATGCTTCATTGCGGGTTGCAGGCGTAAGTTAGTAAGTAAGTCTTAAACAACGTAACATTAAAGTTAATCAAACAGCTATAAGTTACTGATTTCAGTCAGTTCAAATTTGAAACATTATTTACAATGGCTTCAAGCTTATTTAACTTCATAGTTCACTGATTTTTTGCTGAATCAATCTCTACTTTAACACACAACATAACACAGTGAATATAATATTCAACGAGAATAATTTAACATACTAGTCACATTCTCAACAAATTGATTCGGTATGTATGATAAAGACTTCTCACGTCATTTCAGTCAGAGTCAGCCTCAGTTCATGTTCCCATACCACATCAGCACACAGATGTAATTGTCAATTCAAATCCCATTGTGGTAGAGGTAGTAGAAGTATTAGAAGTAATCGGAGAGGTTAGGATTAGAAGATACTATTCAAGAAGTATGATTTAATGAGAAAAGTTTAGAAAGACAAAACTAGAGGTGTTGAAGAACCCAGAAGATTAGGATCTGAGAGAACGCAAAGAATAAATGCACCGGCGCCATTGCGAACGATTTTGAGCCATGTCATTCAAGGTCTCTAACCATCGATTATTGTCATCTCGTGGACCCCAACCAGGTAGTCGACAATTATCGACATGGCTAAGTCCACTAGTCAATGACTTCATGGATTTCTTCCATGTTTTGGTTTACATAATTGAACGCTGATGAATATTCACAATGAATTGTAGAACACGATAGCATCATCTGTTAAGTATGTTTCAATTTTCTTCTTCACCTAATTAGCGAAAACCAATTTCATTCTATCTGCCTCTCTCTCTCTCTCTCCTGAATCATATCATCAACATTCTAGTAGGATTTTAATCTTTAAAGATCTCAAAATTATTTCATTGTCTTTTTTTGAAAAATAAAAATGGTTGTCATAAATTGATTGACAGGCAGTTGGAAACAATGACGTACTCTTGTCGACAAGTTGAAATTTTTCAATTGTCAATGTTGTATTTTTTTTTACTGACAATTGCAAAATGAAAGTAAAGCATTAGAAAAAAATATACTTTGTGAAACATGAAAATAGTAATAAGTGTGTGTGAGAGAGAGAGAGATATGATAATGTGCTGGTTACGAAAAAACTGATCACGTTCACTTCTGAATTGTCAAATACAGAAGAAATTGAAATCTTAAAATAAAAAAAATAGACCATGTTTTATATTTTGTATGCCAAAAGAATATCTATTCTGATAATTCACTAGTGTTTAAGTACAAGGTTCTGATATTGTTAGAAAACGTTCTAATAAGAATATAACTATATACGAGTCGGTGGTTATGTATGCCCAACCAGTGACTGCCTCGACAAGCTATGTTTTGTGGTGTAGGAGTAGGTTGGAAGAGAGCTGGGGGCGGCCAAACGAAAACATGGCAAAAATCCATGAAGTCACTGACCACAAGTGGACTGAGTCATGTTGGTAGATGTAGGCTACCTGGTTGAGGTCCGCGAGACGAAGCCACCAATCGTTAGAGACCTTGAATGACATGACTCAAATTCGTTTGTCAGTCAGTCAGATACAACGTAGAACTTTTTACGTAAGTACATCAGTTCATGTTGCCATACCACATCAGCACTATATAAGAGGTAGTAAAGGTATTAGAAGTAATCGAAGAGGTTAGGATTAGAAGATATTATTGAAGAAGTATGATTCAGTGAGATAAGTTTGGAAGGAGAAAGGTAGAGATGATGACGAATCCAGAAGATTAGGATTTGAAAGAACACAAAGCGTGGACGCACCTGCGCCATCGCAAACGAATTTGAGCCATGTCATTCAAGGTCTCTAACCATCGATTATTATCATCTCGTGGACCCCAACCAGGTAGCCTACATCTACCAACATGACTCAGTCCACGTGGATTTCTGCCATGTTTTGGTTTGGCCGCCCCTAGCTTTCTTCCAAGCTATTCCTACACTACAAAACAAAGATCGGTGAGGTAGTCGGTGGTTAGGCATACGCAGCACATGTCCCAACGACCTCAACTGATGAAGTTTCATTACTTCGTCTATTGATCTGCCATTCTTGCCTAGCACCCGATTCCTAATAACAGCGTTGTTTGTAATGGCGAAGGTGCATTCATTCTTGAATCATATCTTCGAACCCTAATCTTCTCCACTACCAGTAATACTTCTACTAACTCTACCACCATGGGATTTGAATTGACAGTAGCCTCTCTGTGCTAATCCGGTACGGCAACCTGAACCTATGTACTCATGTTCTAAGTTGTGACTGACTGAATACTCGAGTCTTCATTGAAAACCTTTGTCATTGTAATAATCTTTGTCAGAATGGAATTTTGTACAATATGTTCTGCAGATACTAATCTTTAACGTTCTAGTGTAACTGCTAGTGGCTACCTTCTTGTGTACCAAAATCAGTTCTATGATGTACATTTAAGAAATCCTTAGAAACATTATGCATTTCGCGTAACTTAAACTGATGAGTTAAAATCAGTGAAAGACTCTACAAGTATCAGTTACTCAAAACAGAGAGTTAAACTATTTTTTTTACTTAGAAACTACCCCTTACAGTATTAACTTTTTATCAATAATACGATTTGCTATCTTTCTGTGTCTAGAAGATCGTTGTATCAATTATAAAATCCACTATGTAAATAATCTTTCTTCTGAATGATGTTTGCAAACAGTATCTTGAAATACGTTAGGTTTAAAGTGTTATACATTCATTTTGTCATCTGCTCTTGAAACAGAAATCTCCCACATTAAGTCAATATCCTCTACAATTGAAACTAACTGTCATCATTGTAATTTTGTTGCACATATACGTTAATATATCCTTTAGAGTCACACGATACCGTCAAAATCATACGATGCTACAAATCATAATAAATGACAATTTAGCAAACAAAAAATCAGAATATTTACAAGTTTTTTAAAAACATTCTACTCTAATACAGTTATTTTAAAAGATAATATTTTTTCAGTGACTTTGTATTGAATGGCCTACGCGCCATTACGCGTAACAGGCGTAAGTAAGCAAGTAAGTAAGTAAGTAAGTAAGTAAGTAAGTAAGTAAGTAAGTAAGTAGGTAAGTAAGTAAGTAAGTAAGTAAGTAAGTGAGTAAGTAAATACTCCTATATTGAGTGCAGTTTAAACGTTTTTTTCACATTTCGCAAAGTTCCCGAATAAATTTTTTATCGTAATATTTTTCATTTTTCTTCAAGATGAAAGTGTAAGAGGAAAGTTTAAAAAGAATGCTTGCCGTGAAATGAAGAGTTTCATTCAAATTCTTTATATAACAATAGAAAGTAAGTAAGAATATTTTACTTTTTAGTGTATGAATATACTAAGCGTATAACATGATGCACTTGGGATGTGTCATTCACCAAATTAGCATAATACATTTCTAACAGTCTGATGACACAATTACTTGTTCAGACATTCATAGACAGAGAACTGAAGATCGATCTGACTGATTAAAAGACATAATGAAAGAACAGATACTATGCAAACCAATGTTTAACATCATCATAAAATACTGGATCTAGACAACGAATCATCAATCATATAAAAGTCCAAACTGTTTGGCATGTCCAAAAAAATGTTTACTTACTCGCTAAACCTACTCCATTATTGTTGTATTACTTACTATTCAGTGTGTTGTGTGTCATATAGTATTATTTCTGATATTCATCTTCCTACTACTTTTCATTTTATCCAGTTAACCTTTTTTGACTTCTTATTACATTTAGTTTCTTCAGTGGTGTATAATCAAACTTTTGAAAATCTATTTGAGCTAATATATTACAAATTTCACGTCAAATACGATAACTAGTGAATTCACATATAATGTGTTATTTCTAATTTAACTACTGATTAATTTGCTAGTAACAAGAATATATCAATTGAAATTTATTGATCGCGAAGTGTAGACGAACTTCATTTTCGTTTTCAAGGTAACAGTAGAATGTACATTAAATCAGTGTTTTTTATCGTTTCACACTGGCTCGATCAGTATTTTAGAATTATTTCATATTACTGATATCCATAGTCCTACTTGGTGAAGACGCTGACAAAATGCAGAGTCTTCTGACCACACTAAGCAACAATGCAAGCATGTTCGGGATGCTGTTTTCCTCCTCGAAATGCAAAATGTTGCTTCAAGATTGGGTTGCATCGGCACCTGAACTAGTGATAGGGAGTGAAGTAGTGGAGCGTGTTGACCGCCTCACTTATCTGAGAAGTCTCATCAGTGCTGATGGCCTGGTTTGTGGCGGAATCTCAGCACGGATACAGAAGGCTCGATTAGCTTTTGCCAAGCTGCGTCACTTATGGCGTAGGCAAAATATCCGTTTACTGACTAAAGGGCGAGTGTACTGAGCAGTAGTTCGCTCCATCATACTTTATGGCTGTGAAACATGGTCAGTTAGAGTAGAAGATATACGTAGGTTATTGGTTTTCGATCATAGGTGTCTTCGAAGCATTGCTCGTATATCGTGGGACACCCGAGTGAGCAACGCTGTTATTAGGAATCGGGTGCTAGGTAAGGATGGCAGATCATTAGATGAAGTAATGAAACTTCATCAGTTGAGGTGGTTGTGACATGAGTTGCGTATGCCCAACCACCGACTGCCTCGTCGAGCTTTGTTTTGTAGTGAAGGAATAGGTTGGAAGAAAGTTAGGGGCGGCCAAACCAAAACATGGCACAAATCCATGAAGTCACTGACAAGTGGACTGAGCCATGTCAGTAGTTGTCGACTACCTGGTTTGGGTCCGCGAAATGATAATAATCGATGGTTAGAAACCGTGAATTACATGGCTCAGAAATGTTTGCAATGGCGCCGGTGCATTTATTCTTTATGTTCTCTCAAATTTTCTGGATTGTTCAACACCTCTAGTTTTGACTTTCTAAACTTTTCTCACTGAATCATACTTCTTGAATAATATCTTCTAATCCTAACCTCTCCGAATACTTCTAATACTTTTACTACCTCTTCTACTATTGGATTTGATTTGACAATGGCGTCTCTGTGCTGATGTGGTATGGCAAGATGGACTGATGTACTTACGTACGAAGTTCTACGTTGCATCTGACTTGACTGATATCCATACCTGACCATTTTGGTAGTAATCATTAGTTAAATGCACTACATTTATCATTATTTATACCACTTATAAAATTGTACATAAACTGATCGATCAACAAAACCACACACGATGTCTACTAAAATAGTCATATTTGTGAACTAAGTTGTTTGAACTAGTCCAATGCATACAATATATAATACAGAATGTCGTTTAAACTCTGTTTTGAAGCATTTGTTCAAACGCTCATTGCACTTAAAGACGTTGAGAAACGAGATTTATGATGACCATAGAAGTATGACAATGTTCTCAAATATTATTTGACTGTGATCAAAAACTAAACATTTGGTTATGATGATCGATTCTTAACAAGATAAAGTCAATAAAATTTCATAAACTAAGTATTTTGTTTCAACATGAATTCGAAGTGGCTACTGACTTTCACTGAACGTTCTTTTTGTTGTTATGACCTAATTTTCAGCATCTTTGAATACCAAAAAACTATGAGAATGGATTAAAATCACTAGAAAAATCCTTGAACTGGCAGTAAACATCGAAAGCACTAACTTTTAGGAAGCTCTAGACCTAAGTTTTATGCTAGTCGGCATTCGTCAGTAAATGCTTATTTTGTAGTTCTCTGATGGCTAACGTTTTAAAGAGGACTTGAACCTGAGTTACCAAACTTCAGAAATTTTTTGACTGATCTATTTACAACTAGTCTAACAATGAATAATAGTACCCAGCTCAATGATTGGTAGTCACTGGAATCCAATAAATATAACTTCATGGTTCTATACCACAAAGTGACCTTATTTGGACAGCTACTAAATACCGTGAGGGACCGGATAGCTGATTCGTTCAAAGTTTGAGCATGTTCAGCAGTAAGCAGTCAGTGACTCACCAGAACGATCATAGGGAATTCAGAAGATTAGGATTTGAGAAAATACAAAGAATGGATGCAACTGCGTTGTTGCAAACGGTTTTGAGCCGTGTCATTCAACTTTTCTAACCATCGGTTACTATCATCTCGCAGATCTCAACCAGTTAGTCTACACTTATCAGCATGACTCAATCAAGTTGTCAGAGACTTTATGGAATAGTGCCATGTTTCGGTTTGGCCACCCTTATCTTTCTTCCAACCTATTCCTACACAGCAAAACATAGCTCAACGAGGTAGTCGGTGGTTGGGAATTCGTAACACATGTACTCTGGACACAATTAAACTTATTTATTGTTGATTGTCATTGTTAACTGACTAATATTTTCTCGTCCGTAAGAAATGATAACATTAAATAATTAGTTCAACGGATGCTTTACATTACTCGCTTAATGAGCAGTTTTTTAAGATATAACGGTCAGTCATTAAAAATTAACCATCCTTTCATTATGAATAGTTATTTCTCCATCTCAAAAATGAGATATCAGTCTACCTATCAACCAGCTGAGCATTATATACAGCAACTTACTGTGTATTGCCTTACACTCTCAAATATATTCTATAGAGATGAAGAACATTATGAGTACTGTATTGATTACAGTGATCTAAATGAATCACTATTTGAAAAAACTTCAAGTCTCATTTATATTTATTTACTTATGAATGCAACAACATAGATAACTCTGTTTGAAGACAGGTATTCATCTAAACAGTAATAGAGGTGATCAGATATGTAAGGAAGAGTGTACATATCTTTTTATGAATCGCGACAAAATACTTTAGTAACAACTTCTAAGACCATGAAACTTTATAACGCTGGTTCTCATTCCATGGATAGCTTTAATTCTCCTTGGATTCCAAGAACTTCTTGCTGATATGTGTGTTAAATGGCGTGAGATCTTGGTTGTGGGTTGGAACCCGTGTAATAATAGTAATCGATTATTAGAGATCTTGAATGACTTGGCTCAAAATCGTTTACGGTGGCGTCGGTGCATCCAGTCTTTAAGTTTTCTTAAATCCTAATCTTCTGTATTCTTCATCACCTTTATCCTTCTCTTCCTAAATTTATTTCACTGAATTGTACTTCTTGAATAATATCATCGAACCCTAATCTTCTCCAGTACTGCTAATACTTCTACTATCTCTACTACTATGGGATTTGAATGGACAATTGCATCTCTGTGCCAATGTGATATGGCAAGCTGAACTTATGTACATAACTTAAAAAGTTCTACATTGTAACTAACTGACTGATTAATAACTTAGCATCAAAATCTAGAAGACTTGAAATAAAGTAACTTTCATTCATGACCAAATCTCAACTTGACTAACAGAATCTAATTTGACATTAAAAACCAGACAGACGGGAACATATCTAACCACTAGACAATTATTGATTGTGAAATTTAGTCACTTCAATGAAATGAACAGAACAAACAAACAGTAGAATTTAAGTTTTTGCCGAAAGATAACGAAAGCTTTACAACTCAACTAATCAATTCATAGAATTCGATAACTTACTAAAGTCACTATTCTAAGCTACTTATCTTTTCTCGCATCTAAATCTTGTTAGGATATTCATCCAATATCCTAAGAGAATTATTGGTCTATCCCTATTGGTTAATTTCTACTGGTCAATTTTATGTCCATCCTAGATATCAATGTCATGTGCTCCAATGTTGTTTCTTATTGGTTGTCCTGACTATCAATGTCACTTCAACTGTTACTTCCTATTGGTCGTCTTAACTATCAATGTCACAGACTTAGATGTTGTTTCCTATTCGACCAAAATGTATATATACGCATTATCTGTAAGGTTTTATGACCAGGACCAGGATCAGGACCCAGTCCCGGATCCCTAGTCCGGGATCCTGATTCTCTTCTGGACTTAGGCCTCGTACTTTCTGAATGCTTGTAGAATACAGGTTATACTTCGCCGGATCCTCGCTCCTCGCTCTCGTTTTCCGACTAGGTTAACTCATAATAATTCAAGTATATCAAGTTGACGTGTTTACGTGCAGGCGTAACAATCTAATACTGTATGAATTCTCGACTTATATACAGATATAACTGATAAATTTATCACAAACAGCAGTTTCATAGTGAATAACCTAAATCTTGTCTTTTTACAACTGGGAAACTAACAACAACAATAACAACAAAAAAGCAGTTAATTCCATGAAAAAAATTTACTGATACTTAAACAAATTACGCTTAGTAAATATTTTTATTATCCCTTTATTTTCATTCTATATTCACTCAAATTATATATTGCACAACAAGAGGAAAGAATGAGTCAAGGCATGAACACTAAGAATATCACCCCGTATGTACTGGATACATTGGAAACTGAAATCAGTCGATTAGTTGGGCATAGTGTAAAGGTAAGCTTTTTCAATGAAATGAAAAGAGAAAAAAATCTTGACAAATCTACTTCATTATCCAACCCATCACATTAGATAATCATCTCATATCGTAGAAAGTATCGTGAAAGTATTTTATCTATCCAATTGCTGGATTGTTCTTTTGTATACATTTTTGAAACCATGAATCAATCAATGTTAGACCACCATTAGAAACTTGGAAGCACTGGACGGCCGTTTCATCCTGGTATGGGACTCATCAGCAGTGCGCATCCACGACTCCTGCACCCCAAAGGATTCGAACCCAGGACCCTAAATTTTGTGCGCGACTGCCTAACCATCGGTATGTAAAGGTGTTAATGTCTAACTTGATCAATTCACAGAGTTGCGCAACCTCATTGAAATTCTTCGGTAGTTACTGTCTACACCCGAACAGGTCGATCTTCGCTGGTCACGTCTTCCCACTAGAACTCGGAGAAGATTTCTCACGAAGCTAGTCACTAGTGAGCATAGGTAATTTGCATTAAGGAGTTGTGAAGATTGTTGAGTTACACACTTTTTGAAACCATGAATCGGTGATCAATGTTAGACCAACATTAGAAACCTTGAAGCACTCAATGACGGCCGTTTTGTCCTGGTATGAGACTCATCAGCATATAACGAATATTGTAGAAAAACCAGAAGCCATCATTTAAAAGAATGTTGTGATGGCTTGCAATCTGGCTCCGTTATTTATAAATGATCGAGCAGGCTATGAAATAAATCTCCCCATCAGTTTCTGTATATTATACTTGTGCGATGGCAGTAATAAGAAGCCGAATACGGATTCATTCGGATGAGTTTATTTCAGACAATCGTTTCATTGCAGACATGATATTGAAATGCATACAAGCAAACCGAAGCGCAGAAGGCATGGCTAAGCATTTATTAGTGAGGTAAGGTAAGCGAAACATGTAATAAGTGAGGTGGGCGTGCGCACACACACACGAATGAAAGCAGCAAAGATATGAGCGAATGAGTGTGACAAGGTCAAGAGACGAGTAGAATGCTAACTTATCCAAAAGCTGGAATGAGCCTTGTTGGGCTCGACATATAAAATGTACAAACACAATACAGTTGATAGTAAAGAACTCGACTCTTAAACTAGTGTTCACTTCCTTTATAAAGTTGTGAAGATTGTTGAGTTTCTTCATTGAAAACATGAATTGATCTTTGTTAGACCAACATTAAAAAACTGGTGTTAGTTTTTTTGCATCAAGCTTACTAACATTTGGTTTATAGTAAAGTGAGACCATTGGTAATTCATCAAAGGGTATAACAGTTTTTATGCCTTTCAACTATTTTACTGAATGTTTTACATACAATGTAATAATTTAGATTTGTATGAATAAAGCTGTTTTAAACAAAGTGAAATTAACAGGCTAAAGGATAAAGACGGAGTTATATTTTAAAGAAACACGTATTTTTCTCTGATCTAGAACTTCTTAACAATCAATGTACATAAATCACCTTGTATCGAGAGGTACACTAAGGACACTTAAGTTTTTCTTTTACGAGTTCACCTTAGTTGATAAACGGGAAGGAGACTTTTACCAGCGTCCAGGTAGTCTACCTTGAATACCCAAATAGAGTAAAAAGGCTTTTTAAGCGTAGAAAGTATATTCTACAAACACCCAGCAATCACACAATACAATCAAGCACAGAAATCTCGTTTATTTATACATCATAGAAACGTCCTAGTGGGACAGTTATGAAAATGGCACACTAAAATACACAGCAGCCAATCACAGCCATGGATTTTCCTGGTGGGAAATGTGATCTCAATGTCAACTGATCAGCCCATGTTGGCAAACGTGAAATCCAAAATAAGGCATTTATGAAGCGAGTTCTTGGAAATCTAACATCCCCAACAATTCTAACCCGATTTTCCCCAGGCCCCGCTAATTAAAGCAAGAAGTCTTGATAAGGCGTAGAGAATGTATTTTACAAGCATCCAGAAAGCTAAGTACTCAACTCAAGCTTATTTATACAATGACAGAAACGCCCTTGTTGAGAGCCACCAAATAGCCTACTAAAATAATCCATCAACCAATGATAGTCAAGGATTTCCGAGTGGGGAAAGTCAGCTCAAGGTTAACTGGTGCAAAATTTCAGGAAAAAATTACAAAATTTCGGACCTTTTCCAAGTGAGTTCTGAGGAACTAAAGTCCCCGACAAAATTACAATTTTAAGATAAAATATTTGTTGTTATTATTATTATTATTATTAATTATGATTATTTTCACCTTCAACTTTGACAGGGCATTACAGACACAAACAGTTTAACTGGTGATGATGATAAAGAATCCGTGACGATGGTTGATCGTGATGGTGTGGAAAATCGACTGGCTGAGATTCTTTTCGATAAAGTGATTAAGTTTGTTTTTTTTTAAAAAAAAATTAATTAATTCATATTATCATAATTTTTTGATAAATTTTTTTTTCAACTTTACAAAATAACATTCATTCGGAATTGTACGTACTCACATTGAATTGAATTATGATCTATCATACTGTGGTGTGAGCTACTTATAAGTAGTATATGACGTGGTTGTCAACGTAATGTCTGGCAGCAGAAGATGAGGGAAGATCAAGAAAGGAAGAGTGGGAACACAATGGAATTTGTATGAAACGCATGAATAGTAGTGACAATAGATTGATGTTTTGCTACAGGAACAGTCCAGTTCGATTTGATGATGAACTGATATTTTGCAAATGAACGATTTATGATATGGTTTTCCAATTTTACTGAGTAACTCTGTAATTTTCGTTAAATACAATTCGGTTGCCCCACCTGTGTTCTCGTTCACTACAGTATGGTAATGAACGGGATGAATTACAGCTCAACGAGGATATGGTTTTGATGTTGCTGATTTCACCTAGCTAGATGATTTGAATTAGAAGCCTTCTTTGTTATCGTGAATATTGTTATCAAGTTCTGCTTCAAATGAAAGAGAATCCAAGGACAAGATTAAAGACAATGAAAGCAGGATGAATTAATTTAACACATGTTGCACTTAACATTGTGGACAGGATGACACTATGACGTACGTATCTGAGAAGATTGTCAACATCAACATATGATGGACTAAACTGAGAAATCGTAAATAAACGACAGCTCACAGCCTCGTTCTAAGTGAAGGCTGTTGTCAGACAAGGTTGATTACTGTTAAGATTTCGCTTTCTTCTGGTAATTGGTTATATTATAAATAAATACGTCGATGTCCCAGAGTGAATAGAGAATACAGTGGACGAATCGGCATTGTCGTATGACCTAACTCTTCCATTCTACAAACAGCAACGAATGTACGGCCAGGGTAGCGGTAGTCTCTGTAGCAGTAGGTCTTAAAGTACACAACGATAAAAGCAAGTTCCTCTGATATAACCGGGCTTTTACTTATCAAGTCACACTTGATGGAGATGTCTTGGAGGACGTAAAATCTTTGAAATATCTGGGCAACATCAAAGACAAGCGAGCTGGATCTGATGCAGATGTGAATATGCGAATTGGCAAGGAAAAGGCAGCATCTTTGAAGCTGTAGGACATCGAGAACTCAAAAAGAACTGTCACTCAACACCAAAGTCACAATTTTCAATATGAACATCAAATCTGTCCAATCACATGAAGCAGAAAGCTGAAGAACAATGAAAACCATTATCCAAAATATGTAGGTAATTATAAATCGTTGTCAACAGAAAAAAAATCAGATTCCAGAAGAAGAATAAATTAGGACAAAGTGTTGAGTGTGGATAGGATATACATTGCGGAAACCACCCAACTGCATCACGAGAGAAATGCGAAGTTGTAACTATTAAGGCTAAAAGAAAAGAGATTAACTGAGGAACATACTGCACCGAGAATCGGAGACAGGCATGCAAAAATTGATGAATAGTAATTGGGCAGCAGTGAGAAAGAGGGCTCAAGACAGAGTTGGTTGGAGAATGCTGATCGGTGGTCTCTGGTGAAGGTGGGGCCAGAGGCATAAGTAATTAAGTAATATAAGTAATATATATATATATATATATATATATATATATATATATACTTATGTACATAATAACAGGATAATATCTCATCAGTTAATATTACATAAAAGAATATTTTCACAACACTACATTCCATTTATGCATTGTTAGTATTGAGGACTGAAAATGAAAAGGACAAATGATAGGTCTGAATCTCAATAGTAACATTAAAGGTGATATGAAAATACATTCATCTGACAAGTGTCAAATAAGATAAAAAAACGTATACCTTAGATTTCAGTGTTATAATATAAACCAAGTACTAGTTGTCACATCAAAATATATTGAGACACCATGAACACACATTAAATAAAGGCTGATTATCTGTAGCTGATAATTTGAACAAAAAATAATTACTTTTGAATGTCAAAATTTATTAACTCTCTAGGAATCAAACATTGATTGATTGGCTAAGTTTATAGAAAAATTTGAAGGAAAGATAATAGTTACAGTTGAACGATAACTGTATATAATTTATGCGTAAATGACCAAACTTTAAACTGGTATAAACATTCATTCTTTGAGCTCTCTCAAATCCTAATCTTCTGGAATCGTCAACACCTCTACCTTTGTCTTTCTAACCTTATCTCACTGAATTATACTTCTTGAATAATATCTTCGAACCCTAGTCTTCTTCATTACCAATAATACCTCTACTATCTCTGTCACTATGGGATTTGGATTTGACATTTGCGTCTCTGTGCTAATCTGTGTGGTATGGCAACATGAACTTATGTACATACGTACGAAGTTCCATGTTGCAACTGACTGACTGAGACTATTCGCCAACAAGTGATCTGACTATATTTCGGACTTATTAATAACATAATGAATGAATCATTGTTAGACCACACCATTAGACACCTGTAAGCACTGGATGGCCATTTCGTCCTGGTATGGGACAAATCATCTGTACGCATCCACGATTCCCGCTACTTACAGGATTCAAACCCAGGATCTTCGGTCTTACGCGCGAACGCCTAACCTCTGGACCATTGGGCCAGCATCCAATGGTGTTAGTGTCTAACTTTGATCAATCTAGGGATTTCGCGCACCCTCACCCATTTGTCTTCGGGTAGTTACTGCTTACTACAATCGACAAAGTTGAACTCCACTGGTCATATCTTCTCACTAAAACTCCAAGAATTTCACTAGATAAGCACATGTTTATAATGTTGGTCTAACGATCTCTATAACTCTAATTAAAGAATTTGTCAGACTTGATTGATTTTCACCAGTTTCAGTCAGTATAATATCTCTGTTGACTTATGATCACCTCTAGAAAAAACAATCCACTTTGTCTCATTTTATTCAATTTCTATTTGTTTTGTCATAAGAATGAGTTAAATTTTCGTTTTTTGAAAATGTTTTTCTTGATCGATTCTCTTAATTCTTTTCAGCTCTACTCAGATCTTAATCCTACGAAACAGGTAAGTTACTTAAAAATGATAAAAATGTTTGATTATTTTCACTGAAGTTGCTGAAATCAACTAGACATGATTCATGATTTTTGACTGGCATGAATCGAAATCCCTAGATCAATTAGAGTTAGACATTAAACCGTTGGATGCAGGCCCAATGGTCCGGTAGTTAGGCGTTCGAGCGCAAGATCGAAGGTCCCGTATCCGAATCCTGCTTGGTGCATGTGTCGTGGATGCGCACTGCCGCTGATGAGTCCCAAACCAGGACGGGACGGCCGTCCAGTGCTTCCAGGTTTCTAATAGTGGTCTAACAATGATTGATTGATTGACTGATGATTTCAAAAGTGTAATTCATTAAGTAATATTAGATAAACATTCAAGTTCCATTTGAATATGATGAATAGAATTCTCCATTGTGAAAATGAGAACAACACACTGGAGTGGAAAATATTGTTGTTTTCAGTTAGATCGTCATCATCAGGCTTTATACTCTCTAATATATAAGAATATATTTATATGAAAATGTTAAACCAATGAAGGCAATTTATTATGAGTCAATACACATGTTAGATTAAAGCACAAGTTGATACCTATAGCAGACAGGTGTACTGATAGCAGTAAGGACAATAAAATACGATAACAAAAGTTTTCATCAATAGTGCGTCGAACATAAACACTCATATCTACAGTACAGTTAAGTCATGGATATTATGTTTTGTTCAGTAAATGCTTTCCTTTTCAGTTTATGTGGTTGTGTGTGTGTACATAACATTAAATTGAAAAAATCACTAGCTCTGAAGTTATCAAGTTGATTGTCAAAATTTATCGTTTTTCAAATACAAGCTTAAAAATAAATTTATCAAATTATTTTTCTACATGACTAGTCATTGTTGGGGGTGTTAGATCCCCGAAAATTCGCTTGATAAATGCCTTATTTTGGTTTTCACGTTTGCCAACATGGGCTGATCAAATGACCTTGAGATTTCAATTCCCACCAGGAAAATCCATGGCTGTGATTGGCTGCAGTGTATTTTAGTGTGCTATTTTCTTAACTGTCTCAAGGACGTTTCTATTTTATATAAATAAACGAGAATTGTATGCTTGATTGTATTGTGTGATTGCTGGGTGTTTGTAGAATATACTTTCTACGCTTACAAAGCCTTTTACTCTATTTGGGGATTCAGGGTAACCTATCTGGACGCTGGTAAAAGTCTCATTCGCGTTTATCGACTAAGGTAAAATCGTGATAGCCTCAAGCATACTTAGTGACGAGCATAACAGTCATATATTCTTGTCTGCTCAAATTATGATTGACACAAATAATGTATTGGTAATTCCATTAATGAGATGTTATAGTTAGCAGTTGACTTATTCAAAACAACGACCTTCGGTCTTGCATGCGAATGTCTATAGCCTGTGGACCACTTAACCGGTATCTGACAGTGTTAATGTCTAACTTCGATTAATTCACGGTCTTGCGCTACCTCATACGCTATCTTCGTTGATCACTGCTTCACACCCGAACATAGTTGGACTCCACCGGTCACGACTTCTCGCTAGAACTTAGAGAAGATTTCTCACAGAGCTAGCTAGTCACTAATGAGCACAGGTAATTTGCATTACAGGGTTTTGGAGAATGTTGAGTTACTTTTTGAAATCATGAATCGATAAATGTTAGACCATCTTTTTAGAAATGGACATCCAATGCTTCCAGGTTTCAATTCTTGAAAATGTTTTAATCATTTCACTAAATTTTTTAAACTTGTCTATGTCAATCCTTTCACCGCACTCTCTTTTTACAGACAATTTAACTTTCCCTCATCTAACAATAATTTTGTTCTATTTTCATTTAGGAAAATGTTCAACAATTTACATTTCAAACATCTAGTCCAGTATCAACCGATGCGAATTTCAATAAATTATCCGCCGATTCAATCAACAATGATTCGAATCATTTAAACAAGACGGAAGAATTAATTGTGACAGAAGGTTTTCCAGTCAGATTGGAATATACTCTACCATATAATGAACATTGTGGTTAGTGTAGAAACATATATGTATAATTTTCTAAAGAAAATGTTATCAATTCTTTTTTTCAAATTCTTTCAGAAATACTTTCCATTGAAGATAAGTATTTAAGTAGTATATTCGATGAACTGTGTATTTTATTAGTTTGTATCAATGTATGAAAACAAATAGAAACTGTGGTATGTGCTACTTATACGAACGATATAAGTAGTATAAGAGGGGGGACGTGAAAGAAAAAGTCTCACCACGGTCAGAAGAGGAAAACGGAAAACAAATGGAGCAAAAGCAAGAAGTAAATGGAGTACCAATAGAGGAAGGAAAGGAAACAACAACAGGAATGGAAGAAGGCTGGAGTGTCGGAAGTCATGACTCGAAGATGGTGTGCAAATAGATTGTTCAATGTAATGTTTTCGTTTTTAATTGACTCAGAGTGTTTACAATAAAAAAATTAATCCGTTTAATTCAGCATGACATTTCGTAGACGCCAAACTTCCATATCAACAGGCTGGATTTCATGAGGATCAAACGTGTACCGACCACCAAATTGCAACATTACGGACCATTATGGAATATTCAATTGAATGGAACTCACCAATGTACATCAGTTACGTTGATTACGAGAAGGTATTTGATAATGTGGACAGGACAACACAATGGAAGCAATTTCGACACTATGGTGTGCCTGAGAAGATAGTCAACACTAGACGGAATTCTTATGTTGAATTAAAACTGCGAAATCATGCGCGCAGGACAGCTGACAGACTTGTTTGAGATGAAGACTGGTGTCAGGCAAGGGAGCCCACTCCCAACCTTTATCCTCCTTCTCTTGGTGATCGACTGGTACATGAAGACATCAACATCTGGAGGGAAGCACGGTATACAGTGGAAACAGACAGCCTATAATGACTAGTCAATACTCAGCTACGACGAACTCCTGGATAGCGTCAATCGACATTGTATTTCTTCATTTTCTTTTAATACTCTACATAAAATCCATTCATGACAACCAAAACACTTCAAACAAATTTACACATACAAATATTGAAACATCACTCTCAAACACTTGTCTGATGATTTTATCATACTTATTAAATTCTTCATAATTGGTACTTCAATAAGGTTGCAAACTATTTCAAGCATTTTTTTGTTTTAATAAAACTGCCTATAACTCAACAAGTCAGTTATGATATGATTTGTTTAGAGAGTTTATTAGTTTGAACAATTGAAGAGAAATAGAAAAGAATTCTTATCAAATCGTATTTTCAAAATGGAATCTACATTAGTAATAACTCTTATATTTTTACTATATGATAAGCATAGCAAGTTATGGTCATCTGATCTTGTTAGGATGTTCATCCAATAAATATCCTAAGAGAATGATTAGTCAACTCCTATTGGTCAATTTCTATTGGTCAATTTTATGATCGTCCTAGCTATCAATGTCACGTACATCAATGTGGTTTCTTATTGGTTGTCCTGAATATCACAATGACTTCAAATGTTGTTTCCTATTGGTCGACTTAAATGTCAATGTCACAGACTTCGAGTCTGTTTCCTATTCAACCTAAATGTATAAATTTGCATTAACTGTAACATTCTGTGACCCCGACCCAGATCCTCAGTCCGGGATCCGTGTCTTCTCTGGACTCGGACCTCGTACTTCCTGGATGCTTGTAGAATACAGGTTCTACTTCATATCAAGTCTTCTTCTTTCACTCACTATGGGGGGGTCAGGATACTCGGATTAGAGTAACATGTCGTGACGCCGGGTCCTCGATCCTCACTCTCGTTTCCCAACTAAGGTAAACTCGTAATGATTTAAGCATATCAATTTGACATATTTACGTGCATGCGTAACACATCTCTTTTCTTCATTTCTATATTTTTTTTTTACTGCCTCTCTCCAACCACCATCCCCCACCGTGCACCACCACACTTTTAGAATTTCATTGGTATAAATTAACCAATGATAATCAACGAATTCCAGTCAAATTAGATTTTCGTATTGAACATGTAATCACTGGTACAATTAATCAATCATTTAAACAATATCAACCATTCAATTATCAATATCCAAAACATCCATTTGTTTTATCCAATTCCGGTTTGATTACAAATGAAACAAAACAAAAATTAAATCAATGGATTAGTGAATTATCAAAACTTCAATCAACCAATCATGGTAATGAAGAAGACATTATTTACTTACAACATCATCTCATCATATGGACAAGTAGATTTGACGATACTGGAAGTTATTTTGCATCAGTTGAATCTCAATTACATAACAATGGTAAATCATCAATGAAAGAGAAAGAATATATAGTCAGAGTAATCAGTAAGTTGATTTATTTTGACTTCATTTGTAAACATTTCACTCGTATCGCGCAGTAAGAAAACTGAATGTTGAAATGGTCACTTCGTATTAATAATCTTTTTTGTAATATTTATTTACAGCTAGAGTTATGAAGATTAGTGTTTTTGAGATGGTGGAGAAAACTTGTAGCTCAGGTGGATGATTGTGGTGGTGGTGTTTGGTTCTCTGAGCTGAATGTTGTTTTGGCTGTGGAGCTTTCATTGTTCTTCTTCTGAACACCAACATCATCAGCACAAACTTCAGATAGAAGAAGTGAAGCATTCGAATTTCTCCACGTTTGACCTGTAGCTTGTTCTGCTGCTAACCTCGATCTTGATTGGTTGTTGTTGAATTTTGACCTGTCGTTGTATGCAACTTTGTTTTGATTGCAACCCTCTTTTGATCCGTTTCTTGATCCTACATCACCTATGATTTTTCTAAGTGGTTGATAAATTGGATCAATATTGATGTGTTTTTTGATTGCTGATTGACCTGAGTGCCAACTCTTCGTTTATATCAATACATACCTACAATTATGGACATACATTCGATTAGGACAATGTGGAAATACTGGATAGGGAGAGGAAAAAGTACACTAGAGAATTTTCAGAAGCTTGGCACTCAAGTCAATCAGCAATCAATAAACACATCGACATTGACACAGTTTATCAACTAATCAGGAAAGTCATAGGCAAACATAGGATCAAGAAACAGATCAAAAGTGGGATGCAATCAATACAAAGGTGCAAACAGCGACAGGTTAAAGGTCAATGGCAACCAATCAAGATCGAGGTTAGCAGCAGAACAAGCTACAGGTCAAACGTGGAGAAGTTCGAATGCTTCACTTCTATCCGAAGTTTGTGCTAATGATGTTGTTCAGAAGAATAACAATGAAAGCTCCACCACCAAAACAACCAGCTCACAGAACGAAACACCACCACAATTAGTGTTTTTACACATTTGAAATCATGAATTGATCAATGTTAGACTCATTAGAAACATCGAATAAGCACTGGATGACTGTTTCATCCTGGTACGGTGACTTAACAGCATTGCGCATCCACGATTCCTGCAGCTCGCAGCATTCGAACCCGGGACCTTTGGGTTTGTGTGACAAAACAGCCGTCTTTCAGTGCTTCCAGGTTTCTAATGGTGGTCTAACAATGATTGATTGATGATTTCGAGTGAATGATATTAATTTACATGCAAGTTGTTAGTCATATTGTGGTGTGAGCTACTTATAAGTAGTATGTGACGTGAGTGTCAACGTAATATCTGGCAGCAGAAGATGGGGGGGAAGATCAAGAAAGGAAGAGTGGGAACACAATGGAATTTGTATGAAACGCATGAATAAGTGAAATGTCAGACAATGGATTGATGATGCATTGAAGATTTGCAAATTAACCGTTTACGATATGGTTTTCCTATTTTACTGAGTAACTCTGTAATTTTCTGATAAATACAATTTTCGGTTGCCCTCACCTGTGTTCTCGTTCACTACAATATGACCGGCTTATTGATTTGCTAAACAATAAACTCCTTAATATACATTATAATATCAACATTATACAAATTGATCTATACAAAACATCTTTCGGTTAATATCCCATAAAGAAATTTTATTTGCATAGTTCTATTGAAAAGTGTTTAAGAAGCCAATAAATTTTCTGAACAGCCAGTCTTCTTATGAATATTTTGATCTTTGTAGTTTTTTTAGACTTGATAAAAGTTTGATTGAAAACTGGCAATTCAGTATTCTACATATAAGATGAGGAGACTGAGATTTAACATCGATACTTTTTTTAATGAAAAGATGAACTACCTATAATTAGTGAGTATAAAATTACTGAGCTGAAAATATCCGAAAGACGTAACTTTATTTATCTAATAACAGTGAGAATTTGTTTACAATAATAAGATACGGAAATCCTGTTGACTAAACGACCTAATAAATGAGTTGATTAGTTTTTCAAATTTAAATTCATCTTGTCATTTAGCACGAGAAAGCATTTGATGATGTGGACAGGACAGCGCTATGGAGGCTTCCTCGACACTATGGTGAGCCTAAGAAGATAGTCAACATGACACGGAATTCTAATGCTCGATTAAACTGCGAAATAGTGCACGGAGGACAGCTGACAGACTTGTTCGAGGTGAGGACCGGTGTCAGGCAAGACTGCTAACCACCATCCTTTCTCTTTCCCCTGGTGATTGACTAGATAATGAAGACGTCATCATCTGGAGGGAAGCACGGGATACAGTGGACAGCCTGGATGCATTTGGACGATCTGAACTTCGCAGATGATCTGGCTCTTCTATCACACACGCAAAAACAAATACAGGAGAAGACGACCAGCGTAGCAACAGACTCAGCAGCAGCAGGCCTTGAAGGGAAAAACAAGATTCTGCAACACAACACAACATGCGCCAACCAAATCACATTCTTGATGGAGGTGCCTTGTAGTACGTAAAAACCTTTACATATCTAGGAAGCATCATTGATGATCAAGGTAGATGCGATGCAGAAGTTCAAGACGCGGATCGGCAAAGCAAGGTCTGAATTTCTACAATTGAACAACACCTAAAACTCAAAACAACTTGCAAACAAACACCGAAATCAGAATTTTAAATACAATATTGTTTGGAGCGGCAACTTCGAAAACTACGAAAGTCATCATTGAGAAAATACAAGTATTTATTAACAGTTTTCTACGCAAATCGCTTAGGATCCGTCAGCCAGAAACCATCAACAACAACCTACTGTGAGAAAGAACAAACCAGATTCCAGCGGGGGAAGAAATCAGGAAGAAATGATTGTAGTGGATAGGACAGACGGTGAGGAAAACACCCAACTGCGTCACAAGACAAGCCGTCATTGGGCCAACAGAAAGGAGGAAGTCCGAGAAACACATTACACCAAAAAATGTACAAAGATATGAAAAGAATCAAGAATAAATGGACAGAACCAGAAAGTGAGGCCCAGAAAAGAGTAGGTTGGAGAATGCTGGTCGGCACTGTATGCTCAATTGGGAGTAACAGGCGTAACTAAGTAAGTATAGTACAAACCAGATCAGAGAAACTAAATGATTTAAAACATGTGCTGTGAATTAAAGAAAACTCAAATCTAAATTAAGTTGACATTGATTTTTTTTTTATTCAAAGTGATCATAAATACTTCAAAATTATTTCATTATTGCTCAGAAAATACAACATCACATAAAGCTGCATTTAAGCCACAGTTATATACTTTATTATTAAAATAATAACAGTTTATTTTACTGCTTATATACATTGACTAAGCTATACATTTCCATAAATATCTCTTTATTTTTCACCCGAACAGAATCTAAACAAACACTAGCCAATCCACAACGTCAACCAGAATTTATTGAACCACTTATTGTACAACCAGTGAACAATACTACAAATGATCCTTTTATTGAAATGACATGTATAGTAACAGGCAATCCTATACCAAGATGTTTATTCTATCGTAATTCATCACCTATACCAGTAGTTGTAATGCCTTTTGTGAAAATCCAGCCGAATGAATCATCATTATTATTATGTACATTGAGTTCTTTAACACAAAAATACACTGTCACCATATCTGATTCAACTAGATCAGATCGATCAATTGATTGTACAAGAAAAATTACTCTACATATTAATCGACCATCCAGTTCTGAAGATATGGCTACTTATAGTTGTCGTGCATGGAATTGTCATGGTCGAACAATTACATCTACTGATTTATCTGTACAAGGTAAGCAATTCAATAAGGTTTTGTTTTTTTTCTCTGTTGTCATTTTAAAAAGTTGTGGCAATCTGACTTCTCCCTTTTTATAAGTTTTGATAGAACAGTGAGAAGAAGTAAATTGATCTGAATAATAAATAGTGTGATGTATTTGTGCGCTAAACATATTTCGAACAATCTGTGATAAAGAACTCAACGGTCTCTCAGTTACTGGACAAGTTCAATAGTCTTCAGAATGACATTTTATTAACTCATGAACTAGAAAATAATAATAATCGATTGCCTTTTTTTAGACATACTGTTGAGTCGAGTGGGAGAATGGAACTATAAAGCGTTCTGTTTATAGAAAACCAACCTGGACTGGACAGTATCTAAATTTCAGCAGTTTTTGTCCACTGCAATATAAGCGAAGTTTCGAAAAAGACCTCTTCAATAGGGCTCAAAGGATTTGCCCGATAATCTCTGTCGCATATACATACATATATATATATCAACACCAAAATCAGGAGGTTCAATGCAAATGTCAAGACAGTTCTACTGTATGGAGCAGAAACTTGGAGAACTACCAAAGCCATCATCCAGAAGATACAAGTGTTTATTAACAGTTGTCTTCGCAAAATACTTCGTATTCGTTGGCCAGACAACATCAGCAACAGCTTACTATAGGAGAGAACAAACCACATTCCAGTGGAGGAGGAAGTCAGGAAAAAGCGGTGGAAGTGGATAGGACACACATTACGAAAAGCACCGAACCACTTCACAAGACAAACCCTCACATGGAACCCTCAAGGCGAAAAGAAAAGAGGAAGGCCAAGGAACACAGCACACCGAGAAATAGAGAAAGATATGAGAGGAATGAACAAACATTGGACAGAATTGGAGAGGGAAGCCCAGGACAGAGTAGGTTGGAGAAAACTGGTTGGTGGCCTATGCTCCATTGGGGGTAACATGCGAAAGTAAGTAAGTATGTAAATGAACAATGATGTGACTTACGGCAGTTTTATACTATTTACGTCTATCATCTTATTTATATATACATATAGGATGTTAACATTGATCATAACAAATTGAGTAGTTACTTTTCTTAAATGTTGTTTTCATTTAACTCATGATTTAATTATACCATTTATTTAGATCATTTCACTAAATTCGACTGCCCACAAGAAAAACCAAATTTGATCGACAAGATGAATGTTGTAAAAACTGATTCAATCCAATCGGCAGTAAATACGCCACAAGGTGCTTATAATGTAAGCTTTGTATTTTGAGTAAAATGAATCTGTATTTATATTTATGCTTATTTTATATGTACAATTCTTGTTACTACCTTTAATGATAGTAGTAGTAATGTAAATTAATCAAATATTAGTCACGTGATGGATAAACATTTTCATAATTATCACTTAACGTGACAAACTAATTGAAACAAAGTTAAATTTAATGGTTTTATTAAGGTATCAATGTAGGCTTAATGTTTCAATATGATCGTAACAGAAAAAATCATCGCTTGATGCTTACAAACGAAATTATGGTGTTTGCTTTCATAAGCTTCTGACCGTGTCATCATTGTATTCTGTAGCCAAATACAATGACCATGACATTTCCGATCGTTTTGTGAGACAGCTGTACAAATAATAATTATTTTTTGAAAAAATCAAGATGAGAACCTAACAATGATACTTACAACTCTCGTGTGAGTATAGACTACATGATCTGAGACAGAAGAATGAAGAACTAAAGTGATGATCTTAATTTTATGGACAGATCAATTGAGTAGGCCGGGTGAAACTTGCCGTTTATGTATCACGTAAACTTAGATTTATGCTTTATCTGTTCATAAATTTCACTGGTTAACATTCATTTCTCAGTCAGAATAAATCTTCGCATTTCTTTCTCAAAAATATTGTTTATATAATTGACTGAGTTTGATCAATATACAGTAACATATATGATTTCTTGGCGGAGCTTGGAATAAACAAGGTATTTTGAGTCATCTTCTCAAGATCTAAACATGTCTCAACAAAGAACTAAACTAGATTCAGTACTGAATTTCAACTACTGAATAATCCTTAGAAATTACTGTTTAAGTGAACATTGCTATGAATTCCAGCTCAAAATGAAAATTATGAATGTGGAAAAATGACAGTGTCATTTCTGAGTTCAAATTAAAAATATATAGTCTGTTTATTTAAAGATCGATCAATGGTAAACCACCATTAGAAACCTGAAAGCATGAGAAGGCTGTTTTGTCTGAGTATGAGACTAATCATCAGTCTGCATACACTATACCACTCAGGGGGAATCAAACCCTTGACCTTCGGTATCAGGCGCAAACGCCTAACCTCTTGACTAGTTGACCACTGGTTCAACATCCAATCAATCTACGATACTGAGCGACCCCACTGATTGTCTTCAGTAAGTAACGCCCAACATGGCTGAAACCCCTTTGGTAATACCTTCTCACTAGAACTTCGAAAATGTCCTCACGAAGCTAGTCACTAATTAGCAAATAACAAATGTCATTCCTGCTTGCGATAGTCATGAATGCACACCGATTATAAATCCCATACCAGGAAGATACAGACGTCCAATGCCTCCAGGTATCTAATGGTGGCTTTATATTGATCGACTCATGATTTCAAGATACATTATTGTATATTAGAGTAACGTGTGATGAAGATCTAACTGAAGACAGTATTATTCGCTTAAATATATTGTCATAATCTGTTGGGGAAGTTAGATCCCCAGAAATTGCTTGATAAATAGTATCTTTATTTCGGCTTTATTTCATGGACTGATCAGTTAACATTGGAAAATCCTTGGCTGTGATTGGTCACTTCTGTGTTATTATATTCTGCTATTTTTGTGACTGTCCCAAGCACGTCTCCATGGTGTATAAATAAACGCAATTTGAGTGCTTGGATTCATTGTGTGTGCTGGCTGGGTGTTTGTAGAATACACTTTCTAGACTATATCAAGACTTATTGCTGATACCTTTTTGGTCAAGGGATCAGAGTAGCCTACGTGGACACTGGTTCATTGTCTCGTTCTCGTTATTCAACTAAGGTGAACTCGTAATAGTTTAAGCATACCTAGAGACGAGCGTAACATAATCTATAGATTTTTATAGACGAAAAAATGACAATTCAATATGCTATACTGATATCAATGTCGAACTAAATCGTGAAATTTTCATTCGACCAGTGTATTTTCCGTAATTCTGCTTTTTATAAAAATGCAATCTGACAATGCAGGCTTATTGCTTGTTGTTGATATACACAAAAATACAGGTTGAAATTATCACTCTGTTCACAAAGATGTTATCAGTAGTTTTGAATAGCATAATGATTATAATTCTGTTTATTTTCCAGAATAATAATTATCCCATAAAAGAAGAAGGATTCCCTGTGGTTAACATGGTAAACGATTCATATGACAGGTATGAGATATGTACTTGTTAATTGTTAATGTGATTTGGATTTCCTTTTACTTAATGAACTAGTTGTGTAATCACTTAACTAGGCGGAAGGTTAACAAATATTCATTTAGCAGCATTCATATTTTTACTAATTAAATCGCACTACTAAAAAATAATCAGTAGTCAATGTGTATTCATAAGAAAATGTTTAAACACAAACATATACAAATAATATTCAACTATTTGAGAGTGTATACAAGAAAAACTTGAAAGCTCCCAATTGAAATTCCAAGAATTTCAACCAGCATTTCATCATCTTCATCGTGAAAAGAGATGAGAGCTTAGATTGTACATCACACTCCATCCTTTTATTCAAGTATTCAGCTCATTCTTTATCATTCTTAACTGTTTCTTGTCAGATCTAAATTTAATATGCAAAGTTTTATGCCGACACATTAACTGTTATAATCCCTTACCTTTACATCACACCGAATTCTTATAAATTCAATATGACATTCTACTGTATTTCGTTAATTTCTACCATGTATCCCCTGCTGTTTTGATCTGTAATAAAATTGTTTTTGAGTTATAACTCTGCTTAACTGTAATTAGCAATCACTGAGAGGAAATATTCCCTAAAAAAAAGTTGAAACTTTCGTGGTTGGATGGTTAGGCTTTATTTTCTTAACAATTAGGAGCTTGATCAAGCACTTATTGCATTTAAATAGCACTTTGAAGAGGTCTTCATAACGCCTGAACCAAGTATCAAATGTAATATTGGTGTCAGGATCATAAAGAAACTCTAAAATACCACTCACTGATCATACCATCAACTGACTGAGGAATAGTCGGTGTAGATGAGGCTTGAGAAGAGCTGTGCGTCTGAATAAGTATCTCCATCAATTTCAGCTGTTGTGCAAGCAATTTATCTAATTTAGCTTCATCCATCATAATTCACCAGACCATTTGTCAAAATGCGGTCACCAAATTGTTATGCTCGTCTCTAGGTATGCTTAAAACTATTACCAGTTCACCTTAGTCGAATAACAAGAAGAAAACAATGAACCAGTGTCCATGTAGGCTACTGTGATCCCTTGACCAAAAAGGTATCAGCAATAAGTTTTGATATAGTCTAGAAAGTGTATTCTACAAACACCCAGCCAGCACACACAATGAATCCAAGCACTCAAATTGCGTTTATTTATACACCATAGAAACGTCCTTGTGACAGTGACAAAAATAACACAGTAGAATGACACAGTAGTGACCAATCACAGCCAAGGATTTTCCTGTTGTGAAATGTGATCTCGAAGTCAACTGATCAGTCCATGAAATAAAGCCGAAATAAAGATACTATTTATCAAGCGATTTCTGGGGATCTAACATCCCCAACAAGATCGATTTCTGATATTTCTGAGGTTACACTGTGAATAACAGTAATCTGCATAGCCTTACTTCTTGTGCTTTCTCCTTTCCTCTCCTCTCCCACAAGAAACACTTCTTTTAAATCGGAAGTGAATTAGTATAATTCTGAATTGCTTTATTAAGTATCTACCATGAAATTCTCAATTGACTAACTTTAAAAAAATAAAAGAAATTAGCTATACCAAGGGCATCTGGAAATCGGAAATCTCTAAGTGGTATGGCATTCCGATTATTTTTCAAACGGAATATGTAATTAAATGAGTTGTGTACACAAATAGTCATCATATCAGGATTCAACAAACTTTTATGTATTAAGTTCAGTAAAAATATTGACAGACATTAATTTAATAACGACATTAGTTCAGATGTATTTTGACTGATCAGCAATACTAATAAAATGTTTAAACTGAGTCTTAGTAAAAATACATCTAGTATGTCGTACTTTTTTTTTCAAGACCTCATTTTGGAATCGTTTATGACTATTAGGATACCTGTCTAATAAAACTATAAAATCTGACACATTGCACTGACTAATTACTGAGTAGTAAGTAACACGTACGGTGTTTGTCTAATCTTTAGAGTTAACCCCACACTTTTCAAACTGAATTTCTCAGGAAGCCGTTAGGCAAAGTAACTAGACACGGTGATCCATTATGTTTCTAAAAAGGGATAGGTAACTGAAAATTATTTCCAGAATGCTACAAAGTCAAGTTTCATGTTTCCTTAAACTCGTTATATCAATTCATCTAGAATTTTCAAGTGAACTGGTGCTACTGAGAAGACTGAGGCAGGCGAGGAGGATCGTATCATGTAAATTTACACTCTGAGTCAATTAAAAATGACAACATTACATTGAATACTCTATTTGCACACCATCTTCGAGTCGTGACTTCCAACGCTCCATCCTTCTTCCATTCCTGTAGTTGCTTCCTTTCCTTCCTCTGTTGGTATTCCATTTACTTCTTGCTTTTGTTCCATTTGCTTTCCGTTTTCCTCTTCTGGCCGTGGTGAGACTTCTTCTTTCACGTCCCTTCTTATACTACTTATATCGTTCGTATAAGTAGCACATACCACACTACCAATGAAACATGAAAAAAGAAATGCCTAGTTGGCTATTATTAGCTAATGTAAAACTGAGTGTCAGTTCTTCCATTGGTGATTTCCTTTAACTATCTAATTTTTAGTATATTCTTAGTTAAGATAAACATTTCATAAATACATGATGAATAGTTTTCTGTTTGGTCCTCCAAGTGGGTTTTGAAAAATTTCAACTTTTCATCTTTGCTTTTTTACATGTATAGTGTCGGTGAATTCAAAAGACTTGATCCGGTAAGTAGATTCTATTATCTTAACTAATATGTCTGATTAAAATATATATGTAAGTTGTATCGTTTCATACGTAAATGAACAGAATTCGGTTCACTTACGTTCACAATAAATCATACGTACAAATAATTTGATTTGATTTGAGATTTTCAAACGTTAATGAAATCTCTAAATCTAATAAAACTGGTGTATTGCCAAAGTGCTAATCATATTTCCAAATACTTCAGTGGTAGAATCTTTGAATGTCGCTCTAGTCGAATACAGTTTGAACCCCTTGGGCAGCAGTAGTTTTCTCAAGATGTAAAATACACCGTATATTAATAAGCGCTAACTTATTTTCAATCTGTGATCGCTCAACACTGAACCCACTCTACCGTTAAGTTAAATCATACATAGTATCGTCTGAATTGTACATTTGTTGGTAGAATTCGTCGATTATTTAGAAGTAGACAACGTTATAGAAATTAACTTCTCAAAGGATAAACAGTGTAAATCTCTGATTTCAAATGAATATTTTTTGAAATAGGTAGAGAAATAAGTTGAAAGAAATTCCATTTTCCATCCTAAAATATGCGAAGCCGATACAAATAAACTTCTTTTAATAATGCCTATTCTTCTCACCTTGATTGTACACTGAGTAGAATACTTTTCACAGCAACCTATAGAGATAAATATTGGTTAAGTTGAATGCTACTAGTTTTCTTATTCATCAATTTGCTCTCGTGACAGAAATAAACTTAATTAGCTCAAAAAGTATTAGAACTCATTCAATAGTTCTTTGGTCATTGTAGGATTTAATTTTAGAAAGATTTAATTCTAGAAAGGTAAATGCAATGTTGGCGAGCACAGAGTCTATGGGGAAGCTACAGTTAGAAGAAGATCAATTTTCGCTTTAAACTTTATCTGTCTCTAAACAACCAAAAAACAATTAAATTAGTACAATAATTGAGGAAATTACAATTATCAAGTAAGACGAGCAAACATACCAACCAATATAGCGTGTCTTATGGAAATGAGTCAAGTCATGAGTCACATCAATATAATAAGATAATTATGTCAATCAATTTGTAGGTCATTTACACCAAAGAAGGTTTACAAACACGTCAGGTCAGATCACGTGGTGGTCGCTTAAACCACAATCTGATTGGTTAGTTATGGCATAACTACAATTAGTTATGAAAATCACTAAGTCATCTAATCAAGTATTCTATAAAGATTTTCCTAACCGAAATTCTAAGATATTAATTACTATATGCTCAATCATTTACATTCAAGAACTAATTTGTGTTTTCACTAAAATTCTCATTCAATAAATTAATCTTTGTTTGTTTGTTTCAACCAGAAATATCCCAGTTCCATTATTGAAATCTCCCCAGAAAATCAACCTATCGATGTTAAGTAAGTTTTGCTTATCCCAGTGAGATGTTACACATATGTTAAACATCTGTTTTGATATTTTTTGCACTAACATAATAATTATATACTTATACTTGGCTTCGGTTTACGCGCTCGAGTAAAACATTCTGGCCCATTCATGAATTCAATCATTTGTTTGGTGTATAAATATTTAGGTGCGCTCATATTGTATCAACGTCTCTGTGCTTAAATAAAGCTTTTAAAAAATATGTGTATATACTGAACACTTTGACCAACGTATGAATGAAGAGTGTAGTGGTGTTTCGTTCTCTGAGCTGGTTGTTTTGTGCTGATGATGTTGTTCAGAAGAACAATGAAAGCTCCACAACCAAAACAACCAGCTCAGAGAACGAAACACCACCAAAATCATCCACCTGAGTTACAAGTTTTCTCCACCATCTCAAAATGAAGAGTGTACCATGTGCATGAACTTGAATTCGTCTTTCTTTCGTGCATGACAAACCATTATTAGAAAATTAGAATATTCAAAAGCTTCCCATTGTGAATAATTAGACACAACACAGATAATAAGCGAACAATATTGTTGTTTCCGATTAGATCGTCATCAGGCTCTATACTACTCCATAATAAACATGAATATATTTATATGAAAATGTTAAATCAGTCAAGGCAATTAGAGTGAACATTTCCTAGCATGGTTAGGGTCAGTTAAAAACAATACGCCGTTCTATCTTGGCGCATCTGGTTGATGATGGCCATATTGTAGATAAATGTGGATCGTTTCCAATGATCTATCGTATACCTCCATCATATTTCCCAACGGAATTCGATACCGTCTCCTACATATAGCAGAAACCATAGGACGTCGTACATTCAACCCCAGTATATGTGTTCAGAAGAAATTCGTGACACCCCCTATTTCTTCCGTGGCAGGATATATCTTAACCAGCATTATTTTCACATCCTGTATTTTGTTTGTAAATTTCTGCCTCTTCGCGTTTATATTCTTCTTCACCATCTAATTATGTACACACCTTTAATTACGCAATGGTTTTAACGTTTTGTAAAGTCTATTTATCCACGTTCCACCCACTATTTTCAATGTTAAACTATTGACGAAAACGTTTGTTATCGTATTTTATAATTTTCTTACTACTATTAGTGTAGTGAACGAGAACATAGGTGGGGCAACCGGATTGTATTTAACGAAAATTACAGAGTTACTCAGTAAAATCAGAAAACCATATCGTAAATCGTTAATTTGCAAATTATCAGTCCATCACCATATCGAACTGGACTGTTCCTGTTGCAAAACATCAATCCATTGTCACTATTCATGCGTTTCATACAAATTCTATTGTGTTCTTCTAACTCTTCCTTTCTTGATCTTCCCCCATCTGCTGCTGCCAGACATTACGTTGACACTCACGTCATATACTACTTATTAGTAGCTCGCACCACATTAGTACACCTGTCTTCCATACAATCAACTTGTACTTTTAGCTATTATGTGTGTAGTGACGTAATCTATTTCATTGTGATTATTGACTCATAATAAGTTGTCTTGATTGGTTTAACATTTTCATATATGAAATATATTCATGTATATCATAGAGTATGAAGTCTGATGACGATCTAATTGAAAACAATCGAAAATTAGTTTGTATTGCTTATCAGAGTTGTCAATATATATAACTGTACTTCACATGAATTTGCATTTACTCAGCATTATGTTAGCTCATGTAGCTGTAAGAATCATAGTCCATTGAACTCTTGCTAGTTTATCGCATATTAATATCTTTCTACAGTCTTCAGTGAAAATTACTATTTGAATTGTCATAAGTAGGATAGATAGCATATTGATCGATCGACTGTTTATTAACAGTTGTTTCAAGTGAAATAATTTTGTGGCTCAAATTTTTTCACAATCAAACTCAGTAACAATAAACAGAATGCAAATATTTGCAATGAATACTAGTTTTCAAAAAATCAAATAAGTCCGTTTTCTTTTCCTATTTTCTCTATTTTTTATTTTAGACCAATCTATCATAAGTTTTATAGTGAATACAATAAAATGTAATTGAAATATGTAGTGTTTTCAAAAAATATGTTTCATTGAAAAATGATGCATATGATAACAATAGATTCCATGATAGACTTTATCATATAGACTGTAGTTTGTTAGAAATCAATACGTGCTAATCAACTCAATGTATACAGAAATTGTTATGCTGGTCACTTGATATGCTTGAAACTATTACGAGTTCACCTTAGTCAATAAAGGAGAACGAGATAATGAACCAGTGTCCACGTAGGATACTCTGATCCGTTGACCTAATGGAATTAACGAAAAAGTCTTGATATAGTCTAGAAAGTGTATTCTACAAACACCCAGCCAGCACATACACAATGAATCCAAGCACTCAAATCGCGTTTATTTATACACCATAGAGACCTCGTTGGGAAAGTCACAAAAATAGCACAGTAGAATAACACAGTAGTGACCAATCACAGCCAAGGATTCTCCAGTTGGGAAATGTGATCTCAACCCATGAATAAAATCCAAAATTAAGACATTTATCAAAAGATTTCTGGGGATTTAACATCCCCAAAAGAATTTTCATTCAGTTAGTTTACTTCACACGTTACTCAAGCGACACACTGAATCGCCAATGTAATATGGCAGTAGAAATTAAATGATCCTTCGACCAAATGATCCCTGTTCTCGTTTTTTACTAATTAATCAGAGCAGAAAATAATAAGCTTACAGAATTAATGTAAAATCTTGAAATATATATATATATATATATATATGCAATAAAATATATCCATTGGTTATGAGATGAATTTAATGGTTCCTTTGTCAGTTTTGAAGCATCGAATACGATAAACAGAAGAGATTAGATATAAACTTTTATATGGATGCATAAGGAAGTTGTAAGAAGTTATCAGTCTACATTAATTGATTTAAATATTAGTGTTTCGGATCTTCCAATACCGACTAAAATAATGAAATAATCTAAGAATAGTTAATTGTGTAAAGTTTCAGTTAACTACAACCAGAATGAAGTCTTCTGTTCTCTCATAGTATATAAAATCGTTTTACAAACAATGTTGATCAGCTTCGATAATCTGACAAGATTTCTATTTAACCATTATGAAAAGTACTCTTAGCCTGACAAAGAAATATGTTAACCGGATAACTGTATTTTCATTTTTAAATCATGAATTGATCAACGTTAGACCACCTTTAGAAACCTGCAAGCACTGGATGGGCGTTTCGTTCTGGTATAAGATTCATCGGCAGTGCACATCCGCGACTCCTACACCTCACAGGATTCGAACCCAGGACGTTCGGTCTTGCATATAATCTGTTGAATAACAATTCAGTAGGTAAATAGTATTGTGATTGTAGTAATGTCGGAATCAAGCCAATTTAGACGGCATTGGGTTAATACAAAGACAGTTTCTCTTCATTATATGAACCGGAAAAAAAACAGAGGTTAAGGATTCACGCATGAGACTGGAAATCCTGGTTTCCATTTTTGCGAGCACAGGTCATGGATGCTCACTGGTAATGAGTCGCATACCAGGAAGAAAAGGCTGTCCATTGCTTCTACATTTCTAACATTGATCGATTCATGATTTTTCAAAACATTCGACTCAACAATCTCCACAACTCCATCATGCAACTTTATTTTCATAAAGATTATATTCTTCTTACGTACTAAAATTGCAAAAAAATATATTTTTCATAAAAATAACTTTTGTCATGATAATTTATTCTACAGTACGAAAACTTCCAATATCACCAAAACAGTAAGTCCCCTTTCTCGTACTCTGCCTTTCATTATTCTATTTTTATAAATTTCTAACTATATTTCATGGAGTCATTTTCACCATTTTATTATAAACTAACATTATTGCGTAAACGATTTCAGTAGTATATTGTTAACAATGAAAATTACTAATGCTTACTTTGTAGTGTGTCGATTTACTGCATGTGTTCTAAAGCTCGGTAATTAGCTCGTCTAGACAATCGTTATAAAAATAGCGTCTGACGGTTTATAAATCAGAAGATGAATTCGAAGTAATGAATACGTTTATTTTTGGACACACCACAAAGCGAAGCGGAGAAGCAATGTGAATAAAACGAAGTGGAGAGGCTAGCGAGCCAACTCCTTGGATTACAATGCGAACGAATGGGCGAAGGAAGCGATGCGGAGAATGGCTAATGAGCCTACTCAAAGAGATAGAGCATCACTAAGAATATATAGTCAGACAAAAAATAAGACAGACATGTGACAAGCGAAATAGGCACACATGAATAAAAGCGACGAATAGTTGACAAGGTCAAATGACAAGTGGAACGAGAGTCATGTGAGCTCCTCATACAAACCAGACAATAATAATAAGAACGAATGGTACAACATATAAATTGTTGCATTACACAAGTGGCTTGGTTAAATAAATTAATCGAAAAGGGCTTAACCAAATTAAAAAATGTAAGCGAACCGGAATATTATATGTAGAGGCACTACAACTTGATTATAGAATTTCTATAGGGAATTTTAGTCAATTTTAGTCAACCTGAATTATATAAACATTAGATCGATTGTCAATTAATACGTTAAAGAATGAATGACGAGTTGGTTGGTTTGTTTGTTTGTAACCTGTGTTTTAGTGCTTCATTTCAATCAATATGGAATTCATAATTTTGTGCACGATTGAATGATCTTCAACAATTTACTAATTACAACAGTTTCATCACCAGGAAAAAATAAAAAAAAAACAATTTAGATATTTCGAGAAACTTATGTTTTGTTAAATTTCTATGAAACAATTTGAAGATTGAACAAAAAACACTTCATCTAATCTGAAATCATTTAATATGAAATTCCTATGTCTATAACACTGAACATACACAAAGTTTTAAGAGATCGAGTTTTAGATGAAGATTATTTCAATCAAGGTCAATCAAACGAAATAGTTATAAATTTTCTCTAACTAATGCCACGTTAATTACTTACTTACTTACTTACTTACTTACTTACTTACGCCTGTTACCCTCAATGGAGCATTGGCCGCCGACTAGTTTTCTCCAACCTACTTTGTCCTGGGCTTCCCTTTCCATTTCTGTCCAGTTTTTGTTCATTCTTCTCATGTCTGTCTCCATTTCTCGATGTAATACGTTCCTTAGCCTTCCTCTTTTCCAGTGACCTTGAAGGTTCCACGTGAGGGCTTGTCTAGTGACACAGTTAGGTGCTTTTCGTAGTGTGTGTCCTATCCACTTCCACCACTTCTTCTTGATTTCCTCCTCCACTGGAATCTGGTTTGTTCTCTCCCACAGTAGGTTGTTGCTGATGGTGTCTGGTCAACGAACCCGAAATTCCACCTGATGATGTAGAAACAAGTCCATTTAAATTAAAATGGGATTTTGGCAAAATTTATTGAGTTCGTAAAAAAAATAACTAAACGCCGACTCACTGATGTGCTGTATTGAGAACTGATTGACTTTTTCTTTTAATATGGACTATTACAGCTCTCTTTTTCAAGACATCAGTATTCAATTCACATTCATTTTCAAGCTGAAATGTGTTCACACTGTATAGCTGTTTTTGACAAACAAATTACACATAACTTTTTATAAGAATTCACTTAAATTCAATAAAAATATTCTTGTTCTTTTGAAAGTTTAACAGTTTTGGAAACACATTCAATCAGCAAAATTAATCTAAATCTTATTAATTAGAGTTATGAAGATTAATGTTTTTTCACACATTTGAGATCATCAATCAATTAATCGTTGTTAGACCACCAATTAGAAGACTGAGGCAGGCGCGGAATATTGTATTATGTAAATTTACACTCTGAGTCAGTTAAAAACGAAAACAATACATTGAATACTCTATTTGCACACCGTCTTTGAGTCGTGACTTCCAACGCTCCATCCTTCTTCCATCCCTGTTGTTGCTTCCTTTCCTTCCTCTGTTGGTACTCCATTTACTTCTTGCTTTTGCTCCATTTGCTTTCCGTTTTCCTCTTCTGACCGTGGTGAGACTTCTTCTTTCACGTCCCCCTTCTTATACTACTTATATCGTTCGTATAAGTAGCACACACCACACCACAACCATTGATGATTTCAAATGTGTAAAAACATTAATCTTCATAACTCTAATTGAAAATATCGTAAAATGTACTCACTAGTGACTAGCTTCGTGAAGAATTTATCGGAGTTATAGTTGAGAAGACGTGATCAGTGGAGTTCAACCTTGTCGGGTGTAGGCACTAACTACCAAAGACAAATGGGTGAGATCGCGCAAAATCCCTCGATCAATTAGAGTCAGACATTAACACTGTTGGATGCCAGCCCAGGGGTCCACAGGTTAGGTAGGCGTTCGCACACAATACCGAAGGTCCAGGGTTCGAATGCTGCCAGATGCAGGAGTTGTGGATGAGCACTGACACTGATGAGCCTCCAGGTTTCTAATGGTGTTGGTCTAACAATGATTGATTGATTGGTTGATGATTTCAAATGTGTAATCGAAATCTTCTTAATCATACCATTTATATGTTTTTTCTTTCTTTTATTCATTCTTCCTATCTCAATGTGTTTCTCTTCGTGTTTTTTGTCTCGTACTTCCGTATTTTATCCGCATTCTCGCTAATATATAAACATGGGTGTGTACGCATGTACCTCTCGGTGGGGGACACTGTTTAATGCTTGCAAATTTCCTATTTCAATCATTATATAAACATCATATTGATTGTGTGTGATATACACATGACTGATTGATTGATTGACTGACTGACTGGCTGATCCATTCATCCTCTTTATTCATTGACTGTTATTGAATTTTAGCGCCGTAGCTGTGCTCACTGTATTGTTGTATAATAGGAAAAAATAAATTTGTGAAAACTGAAAGCTGATTTATACTTTTCAAATTATATATATACATATATATACGTATATGCTTACTTTGTCGCTACATTGTAACTAAAAACTGTCTAATCCGCCTTGATTTTCATTGATATTCATGCATAAACTGGTGATTAGAAAAAAATCACCCAAAAGATGTTATGACTACTATTATTCTCCCTTTATTTGCCCCCATCACTTGTTTTCTGGTTAGCGTTTTTTGTTTAGTGAGTTAGATTTTTTTTGTGGGATGGAGTCGCCGACCCTACACCCAACGCTCCTTCCCCAACTTTATCTGGGCATGGGATTGGCAGTAGCACCAGAGGGGCTCTTGGTGGAGTTATTTTTCCTGAATTACTTATATCAGTCAAATAAAATTCTCATAAGGTATGAATAAAATGTCACGTATTCATAGTCTCAGCACCGAACATTAATGAAAATGATAATTTGATAGTAAGCTAGCTAGCTAGTGAACATCAAATCCCTATACAAAACTGGAATGAAACCGATAAGGAATAAAAAAACGTTTCGCAATCTCATTATGAATAGATTTTTTTAATATTTGACTTGGTAATGAGCTGTTGTATTTTAGTAGAAATAAATAAAATGACCACTGAAAAAAAGAATTCAGGAATCGATCGGCTAAATCAGTAATATATATCCTATTCATTGAAAATAAATATTTTTTAAAAATGTAAACGATTACTTTTTGCTTGGGGTGGGGTTAGACATTAACACCATTGAGTGCCGACCCAATGATCTAGAGGTGAGGCGTTTGCGAACAAGTTCGGAGGTCCTGAGTTCGAATCCTGTGAGGTGCAGGAGTCGTGGATGCGCACTGCCACTGATAAGTCCCATACCAGGACGAAACGGCCGTCTCTCAGTGCTTCCAAGTTTTTTAATGGTGGTGTTATAATGGTCGATAGATGATTTCAATGTGTATCAACAAATCGATTGTCAGTTTTGTTAAATTTTCATTATTTTATCTGAAAAAGATTATAATAGTTTAAAAACTGAAAACTCTTAGTGTTAGAATAAACTTATCTATTTGAAATACATATACTACCCACTTCATAAGTGAATGGTTGTTTGGACTGAGTACCTAAACGGATAATTTGTTGTCGTGTGAAACGAAAGATACTGGGTTCACATTGTGCATTAAATATCGACTAACGTATATCAGGCTGATCAGTCCCAAGGTCATTCTGGATTCCACTGATATTCTATGAAATCTGTGTTTAATCTCTGATAACATCAAATACTAAGAGATGTTCAACAAAAAGTATGATCTGAACAGAGAAATGAGAAGACATATTTTGTGAGATAGTGGTACCATTTCGTGCTTTCTCATCAATCACATACAAGCAACATGTTATTTGTGTGTAAATACAGTTTTGAAGATAAGGTCAAAATTTCTTATTTAACATGACATTCACTCAATAGAACCATGGTAAACAAAGGTCAACATACAGTTGTTTTTGAACATACAAACTTGGACTTTTCCGACCAATCAAGATAGCTTCTAGTAGTTTGAGTGTATCTGTGGATTTTGATGACATGTCACAACTCTAAAGGCTGATTTTGGGTCAATTCGATGACCACCACGGATATCCCGAAACGTTTATTGGTCATCAGAACACAACTACGACGAAGCTGATAGCAACTGATGTGTCCAAGAAACCACTGTACCTACAGTTACCTTTCTAGGGTGATCACTGCATGAAAATTACAACCAAACAGACTGCAGCTGCAATAAAAAAGACCTTCAGTGCAGCTAACCAGAGGCTTATCACAACCCCAATCAAGTCTCCAAGACCGATTCAATCCAAATCCCACTGTATTTACCAATTCACATGTAACTGCGGAGAAAGTTACTTGGGTAAGACAGATCGCCGATTGGAAGACAGCATAGGGGAACATATTCCAAAATGGTTAATCAAATCCATGATTCATCCACCTAACTCGTCATCTCAAGATCGATCAAGAAACCCAGCCTCGTCCATTGCAAAACATCTAATGATGAGTAGTCATCAAATTGACCCATAATCAGCCTTTAGAGTTGTGACATGTCATCAAAACCCACACACACACTGAAACTACTCGAAGCTATCTTGATTGGTCGGAAAAGTCCAACTTTATGTGTTCAAAAACAACTGTATGTTAACCTTTGTTTACCATGGTTCTAAGTGAGTGAATAATATCATGCTAAATAAGAAATTTTGACCTTATCTTCAAAACCGCTGTATTTACACGAATAACATGTTGCTTGTATGTGACTGACGAGAAATGGTACACGAAATGGTACCACTATCTCACAAAATATGTCTTCTTATTTCTCTATTCAAATTTATCAAAGGGGAACCACTGTTCTCAAAAAGTATGATCATTATTGTGTAAATAATTACCGCTTCCGATGATAGTTTTCGTCTTGGAACAAAACTAGTCCAAAATCCATAAAAACTAAAGCGTTTCCAGTCTAAGCTTATTTCTTGTTTGAGGCTCCTGAATGGTGAATGACCCTACCTCTCCTAAACACATGCTTCAAACTACAATTTTCTAGTTTCACACCAGCCACTTTGAAACTTAGACTATAGAACTGAATTCTGCATGGGTTGATGTTTCCAATTTCAGCGATTTCATGAAACATAACATAACAACCCTACAATATCATATCATTGAGTAATTTCCTCAAATGCTAAATAACATTGACCTGTGTTTCAATCCTTCCTTCTTAATACATAAAAAGAATTTTAAATAGATTATTCTCAATATAGTCGCTTTATCACTCATTATTCAGTATGGTAAAATGATTTTTTTCAATGCATGTCATATGAATTGGGTTTTGGATTTTGTGTTGTGTACAGATACTAGTAATTTATATTCGAATGCACGAAACTAAACAGTACATCTATGTAGCCTTGTTTTCTTTAATTTTACTCTATGTAGTTGATTCTTTCTGTTTTGCCTTTTTCTTTCCGGTTAGATTACTTATAAAGAAAATGAACTAACCAAATCAACTGCTCGAAATAACCCAGAAAAAATAGTAAAAACTTCAAATGACAACGATTTCCCTCCAGTAAGTGCGAGTGATAATTCTGTGATAATTAATTTTCTGTTAGTAGATATACTACTGTGAATACAGTGTCAGTAGTCTCAAGAAATTTTTCAAAAAACCTTTTATGTTTCAAGGTGTAGTGAATGGTACAGTATTGAAATTAAGTAAAGCAAAACTCGATATTAACAGATTGTATTTGTTGAATTTCAGTGATCTTAATGTTTTTTTTTCAAACTTTCTTTCGCAGACAAGATCTCTAGGTCCTTTATTAGCCATTAAAATGTTTCCTATTCGTCTATTTCGGTTCTATTGGATCGTGTACAAATCTTTTTCTAAGTAAATATTTATGATTTATTCGTAAGGACCAGTCATCATTGGTTAAGTTTTAAAAGATGAACAATGTGATCTCACTATTTTCTGGCCAAGCATTACAGTATATCTCGTTTCCTACAAATAGTTACTTGGTGATAGTGACTCTTGTCAACTTGATGTCTAGTCATGATATCTCTTCTCGATTAAATGAATTACAAATCTCTTGATTTAATTTTGATAGCACCTGTTTTACAAATGAATTTAGCATATCTAATCGTTAAATACAAATTATTGGTATTTTTATGTATTTAAACTATTCGCATTGATAGGGAGTGATGAATTTGTCAAAGTCATTAGAAGCACAGTGTTTGTGAATTTGACTGCTGCAAAATGAAACATCACATTGAAGTACAAATAGTACAAAATTATTTCGGGAAACATGCAAAGTAGTTAGCATTGGAATTTCATTCATTCCTATTAGGATTAAAATGTCAGTCAGTCAGTCAGTCAGTGAGTCAGTTACAACGTAGAACTTCATACGTATGTACTATAAATTCAGGTTGCTATACCAAATTAACGAAGAGACGCCACTATCAATTCAAATCCCATATTCCTATACCGCAAAACATAGCTCGAGAATTCAGACAAGCTCAACAATACCGCCTTCCTAAAACTTAAATTAAAAAATGTTATGTTTGATTAACAAAAATCTTTCACTGTTATTGGTTGATGTATTATTTTGTGGCTCTCACCAAAGGCGTTTCTGTCACTGTATAAATAAGCTTGAGATGTGTGCATATGGACCTCTGGGTGCCTGTGGAATACATTTCTCTACGTCTTACCAAGACCTCTTCCTCTACTTAGTGGGTCCTTGGGATGCTCTGATTAGGGTGGCCTGTCGTGTCACTGGATCGTTTGTCTTCACTCTCATTTACCGACTAAGGTGAACTCGTAATAGTTTCAAGCCTATCAATTGGCGAACATAACACTTCTATAAAATAAATATAAACTATTTTATTCAGTCAAACGTTATGATTTATTTCATCCTCTGAACTTGCATCACAAATTTACCGGCGACTAATGAGCTGGAATTAAAGAAGCCATCGGAAGTTCCTTCTTACAGTTAGACTGTTTTCGCGCATTAGTTGCTCAGTTGACGTTAGGATTATATTTCCCACCAGGAAAATCGTTGACTGTCATTGATTGATTCATTATTTTAGTACGCTATTTTTGTGGCTCTCCTAAGGGGACGTTACCATCGTGTATAAATAAACTCGGCTTGTGTGCTTGAGAACCTCGATCTTCTGAATGCTTGTAGAATACACTTTCTACGCCGTATCAAGACTTCTTGATCTAGTTAGCCTGGCTGGGGAAAAACAGATTAGAGTAGCCTATCGTATCACTGTATCATTTGTCTTCGCTCCGTTTACCGACGAAGGTGAACTCGTAATAACATTCAAGCATATCAATTGACGAGCATATCATATTCTTTATATAATTATTTGTTTCAATCAGTTTCACGCAACAACAACATGCAAAGCGATTTCACTAGTAAACAATTCTAACTTATCTAACTTTATTCATGAATTCACTTTCGCCATGTGTTTCGAAGAATTTGTCAGAGATTTGAAAACAGATGAACTGATTTATTTTAGAACAACATATATAAGCGAACAATATTGTTTTCGATTAGAGCGTCGTCAGGCTGCTTTACTCTAATATACATGAATATTTATATGAAAAAGTTAAACCAATCAAGGCAATTTGAGTGATAATCACAATGAAATGAAAAAGGTTACGTCACTACACACATAATAGGCAAAAGTACAAGTGGATAGTAGAAAGATAGGTGAACAGATAGTAGTAGGAAAATTTATAAAATATGATAACTAAAGTAGGTCAAAGGTGGATGAATAGAATTCAAATAACACATATAAGCGAACAATATTGTTTTCGATTAGATCGTCATCAGGCTTTACTCTAATATACATGAATATTTATATGAAAATGTTAAACCAATCAAGGCAATTTGAGTGATTTGATTGATTTAACATTTTCATATAAATATTCATGTATATTAGAGTAAAGCCTGATGACGATCTAATCGAAAACAATATTGTTCGCTTAGATGTGTTGTTCTAATTTTCACAATGGGAATCTTTAGAATTCAAATAATCATTAAAAACATCAAAACCATTAAGTAATAAGCAAATGTGTAGAAATAAAATAAAATAATATAATGTCAATCGTTAGTTACGTCATATCCGGCCACGGAAGAGAGATAGGGGTGTCACGAATTTCTTCTGAACACATAAATTGGGGTTGAATGTACGTATTCCTATGGCTTCTGCAATGTGTGTAGGGGACGGTATCGAACTCCGTTGGGAAATGATTGAGGTATACGATAGATCACCCGAAAAGATCTAGACTTATCTACCCATATGACCACTATCAACCAGGTGTGCGTATTGTTTTTGACTGACCCTTCCTTCGTAAACCATGCTGGGAGATGTTCACTCATTCGTTGGGTAAGTTGCCTGAAAGTACACCCGATATATAACTATCTCCACATGAGCAGCTGAATTTGTAAATGCACATAGAGGAGGCCAACTCAGGTAACTTATCCTTCGTTCAGGTAGACATCACTAGTCGACTGGAGAATGTCAATGCAAGTTTGGCAGCGTTGAATGTTCTATTAATTACTCTTATTAATCTGTCCTGCAGAGTATCGCAGGCCACATCTCCGTTGAATGGTAACTTAACTTAATGTTACTATAACATGTGGTGTACTCTGAATTCGTTGAATTCATTGATTGATCAAAAACACAATGCCGATGTTGTTCATAAATAATTCAAACATCTCAATGGTATCGTGGATGTTCTATTGCTCTTTTTCATATATTGTAATTTATTTTTTTCCAGTTAAATACTACTTCTTGGAAAACCGACATCAAAACTAATAATGATGTTAAAATAACCCGTGAGGTTAAAACATATCGAAAAGAACAAACTATTGTGAATAAATATAATACAGATTCAAATCTATCCTCAGATGATTGTTCCATTCAATCGAATCACAGTGAACGAACAAAACGTAGATTATCATCGGTACAATCAAATAAACCAAACATTTTAATTGATCGACGAATAAATCGTCGAAGCAGTACATCTTCGAATATTACAGAACTCTAATTATTTAATTTATTGATTGATTAATCAAAAAAATCATTGTGTATCACCACATATCATTAAGAGTCATGTATTTTCATTTTTTAAAAATCCTTAATCACAGATGATCAGTCAGATCAAGTGTAAAAGTTTCCTTAATGCAGCAACATGAATTATCTTTGATTAATTTTACACTTAGATTCGATTTGGTTTGTGATTTTTTTTTTAATGTGAAGCTTTCCTTTTGATTCTTCTTATTATTTTGAATTCATTAATATTTTAAGTTTTTGTCTTACATTTCCTGATGATTTGTAGTACTGTGGCTAATGTATAAAACTTATAACAGATGAAAATAAAATGAGATTGTTTTCTTGAAGTGAGAGGGCCCTATGGAAAGGCATCTACTAAAAACTCAAGCGATATTAAGGCATCATCAGCTCATAGTTATGTAATGCACCAGCAGTGATTAATCCTTAAATATCGATAACGCGAAAATATAAACTCATAGGAAGTGATCGGTATCACACCCGTCATTATAAACTCTTTAGCTAAAAGGATCAGTCAGTCAGTTGCAATGTAGAACACTTCGTACGTATGTAAATAAGTTCATGTTGTCATACCACAACATTAGCACAGAGACGCAAATGTCAAATCAAATCCTATAGTGATAAAGATAGTAGAGGTATTAATGGTAATGAAGAAGACTAGGGTTCGAAGATATTATTCAAGAAGTATAATTCAGTGAGATAAGATTAGAAAGACAAAGGTAGAGGTGTTGACGAATCCAGAAGATTAGGATTTGAGAGAGCACAATGAATGGGTGCACTTGCGCCATTGCAAACGATTCTGAGCCATATCGTTTAAGGTCTCTAACTATTGGTGACTTTCGTCTCGCAGACCCCGACCAGGTAGCCTACATTTACCAAGATGACTCAGTCAACTTTTCAGTGACTTCATGAATTTCTGCCATGTTTTGGTCTGGCCACCCCTAGCTTTCTTCTAAACTATTCCCAAACCACAAAACATAGCTCTTTGAGGCAGTCGGTGGTTAGGCATTCGTAACACATGCCCCAACCACCTCAACTGATGAAGTTTCACCACTTCATCTATTGATCTGCCATCCCTACAGAGTACTCGTTTTCTAACGACAGCATTACTTACTCGGATGTCCCACGATATACTAACAATGCTTGAGAGACATCTATGATCGAAAACTAGTAACCTGCGAATGTCCTCTACTCTGAACGGCCATGTTTCGCATCCATATAGGAGAACGGAGCGAACTACTGCGCAGTACACTCGTCCTTTAGTCAGCAAACGGATATCTCGCCTTCGCCATAAGTGACGCAGGTCGGCAAAAGCAAATCGAGCTTTCTGTATCCGAGCTGAGATTTCGTCAGTCACCAGGCTATCAGCGCTGATGAGACTCCCCAGATAATTGAAGTGATCAACACGCTCGACTACTTCACTCCTTATCACTAGTTCAGGTGCCGATGCGACCCAGTCTTGAAGCAACATTTTGCATTTCGAGGGTGAGAACCGCATCCCGAACATGCTTGCATTGTTGCCTATGGAAGTCAGAACACTGCGTTTTGTCAGCGTCCTCACCGAATAGAACTATGTCATCGGTATATTCTAGGTCAATAAGCGATTTTCTTGGTAGAAGGTCAGCCTCTGAAAAATCTGACGAGCTTAATGTTAACACTAAGAGGATTTCTACGACAATGTTAAACAAGAATGGAGAGAGTGGACAGCCGTGACGGACACCCCTTGGTGTAGAGAATTCCGATGACGGTTCGCCATATGCTCTCACCCGACCAGTAGTGTTCGAGTAGAGAGCTTGTATGAGGTTAATGTACTCCTTTGATACACCTTTCAATGACAGACAATGCCACAGAACCTCACGATCCACAGGGTAATATGCCGCTTTTAGGTCCAGGAAAACAGCTATTGCCGGACGTCTAAATGTGTGTCTGTGTTCCAGGACCTGTCGTAGTGTGAAAATGTGTTTTACACAACCACGTCCAGGTCGAAAACCAGCCTGGTTTTCTCTAGTCTGCTCTTCACGAGCTCTAGTTAGACGTATAAGTATAATGGAGACTAACAATTTAGGAAATATATTAGTTAAACTTATACCCCTGTGGTTGTCACAAGAGGACTTTTGTCCTTTCTTGTAGATTGGGACAATTAGCGACTGAGACCAGTCAGATGGGATTACGTCCATTTCCCAGATTCTACCTAGGATCTCGGTCAGTCTAACCGTTAAAACTGGACCACCATACTTAAACATCTCAGGGGTCAGTCTATCAGGACCTGCTGCTCTACCTCCCTTTAGATTTCCTATAGCTTTCTCAACTTCATGTAGACTGGGAGGACTTAAATCGATTTGCCATTCAGGATGACTGGAGATCGTGGGCAACCAAAGAGTTTCTGAAGACCAGTTGAACTAATCCCTAAAGTGTTCTGCCCATTGGTCCAATCTTCTGGATTGAGAATGGACAATAAGACCATCCTTTTCCCAGATAGTCTCACTCACATTCGGGTTCCTAATACCAGTTTCCTTGATGAGTCTAAATAGTTGCCTACTGTTGACGATCGCCGCTGCCTTTTCCATCGCTTTTGATTTCGCCACCCACCACCGTTCCCGGTCGTTACGTAGGCTTTTAATCAGACTAAGTCTAAGCTGACTTCGTTCTTCATCATTTTCAGAGCCAGGAGGGATGAATTTTCGGGCATCCATCAGTTCGGTGGATGCGACTGAAATCCACGGCTTCATCCTAGCCTAATGGTCAACCTTAATAGCAGATACCACTGCTGTTTCCACAGCCTTTTTTATATCATTCCAACCTGCTTCCTGATAGGAATCGCTTACATGGTCGCCTAATTCTGTTTCTAGTTGTTCCTGAAATATATTCCTAGCTTTATTATCATCAAGTAAAACCCTAAGAGGCTTTCTTACGGTGCATTTCCTACGTCCAGTAAGCTTCAAACAGATACGCGCTCGCACTAAGGCATGATCTGAATCTAAAAATGTGCCCCGCAACGAGCGACAGTCCTCTATTGAACCCCTTCATCGGTGGCTGATGGCAATGTGATCTAGTTGGGTCCAATGTTGAGACGACTTTGGAGGTCGCCAGGTCAAGAGATGCTTTTCCTTATGCCTAAAGTTAGTGTTTGCTAAGAATAGGCGGTTATTTGAGCATACTTGCAACAGACGGTCACCACTGTATGTTCTCTGAGCCGCGACACAATAACATCCACCTATGTGTCTTTCATTTTCACTTAGTCTACCTACTTGAGCATTAAGGTTACCAGTCATTATAACTGTATCAGAGCGCCTAGCATTTTGTAGGAGATCCAAAAGCTTTCTTTAGAACTCATCTTTAACCTCGTCTGAACTTCAGTCAGTGGAGGGGGGCATAGGCAGATACGACGAGGAGGCAACGGCGATTGTCCCTATCTTTCCGAGTCCTTACTGTCCCGTTCAGTCGGACAGCGCACAAGCGACTATCTACAGGGATCCAGTCAAGGAGAGATTGTTTAGCTCTACGACTCAATGCTATGCCTACGCCAGCAAGACCCCTGGAAGCAGAATCAGGTCTTCCAAATACACGAAGAGTAAATCGAGCTGCTTCTTTATTTTGACAAGGTGAAATCAGATAATTAATTTAACTAGGATCCTGTATGCGCGTTTCCGAGACACAGCATACATCGATGGCACGAGATTCTAAAGTCCTAGCTAATGATACCTATTGCCCAATTTGACACAATGTCCGTACATTAAATGCTCCAACATGTAGTCTACAGTGAGGTTTCAAGAGACCAGGAATGACGTTTCGTGAACTCGCTTCGTCTGCATTAGCGGTGCAATGAGAAAAAGGACTGTGAGTAGAGTTCGTTGTGGAGAGAAGAGAGGTGTGTATGGGTGTAGGAAGGATTTGATTTCGACCAATTCGGTCTCGCGTGCTGACACGGGTATGAGAGCGATTGTCACTTCCCGGCTGCCCACACTGTGGAAGGGTGTTTCTTGAGGAACCTGAAAAGGAAGATAGATTAGTGTTGGTATTAGAGACCTGGGTGCGTGACCGCAGAGCCCAAGGGACAACTGCTTGAGGCCGGTCACCCTCGGCCTTTTTATGAAAGGATTTTTGAGTGTTAGCTCCGTTCTTAAAAACCTTTAGTGAGCAGCCTTACCGCCGGAGACGAAAATCCGTGAGGTAGGGTGAGGTGTGACATTTTTAGGGTCGACCTTTTCTAACCCTTCCTTTCTTCCTTGTGAGAAGGCAGCATCGCTGCAGATGCTGGTTGTCCTAGGGAAACACCTTACTGCTGTCACACCCCTCCATCACAGTCAGCAGTACGACTTCGCCCTCAGACCTTGGGTAGCTGCTTTTAGTCTCATCGTTCTCCAATCGACCTGCCTGGCATGGTAGGACATGCAGGAACATATGTTCCAGCCAGTATAGCTCGGTTGGGTCATCACGATAGTCAAGCCCGACCACCACGTCAAGGTAGCAGCTACGGTCCGGTACACCTGTTCAGGCAGATAAAGAATCTATGAGTCAGCCTGGGAGACAGTATCATGTCACAATCGAGTTTGGCTGCAATACATTCAACATCGGTTCCCACTGCAATGCAAAGAAAGAATAGCATGAGTAAAAGAGCCTCAATTCATTTGTAGCTGAAAGTGAGTCTTTAAACTTTTGTTTAAGTCATCCGACCGAACAGGAATCTTGTGATTCTTAGAAGTGTAGCAAGAGAGCGGAAAATTTTATATTTGGAATGACACCAACGATTTGTGGTAATAGTTAAAAAGCAGCCAAAATTCCATTATCCATCGTTGGACGAAGGCGCGGGTAACCGTTTCAGCAGTAATATCCTTGACAGGTACTTCTTCTGTTCATTGTGCGAAATAACCATATTATGTACTAATATATCGAGACTACATGGTTTGTGCCAGGTTTTGGACAAATCGATCAATACATCCTTCTCGAGATATTCTTTTGCCTTTCGACTTTGTCTAATATTAGCTCATAACCTTAGTTATTTTTATTTGAGTGTGTATACAGGCTTACTTCACTTATCACATATCTGGTTTATTTTCATTTAACTATAGATGCTTAGTCTCGCCTTATCCCATTGAGTTGGCTCACTGTCCCTCTCCACTTTGCCTCGCTCTACTTTTGCGCTTTGTAATTCTCATGTCTGTCTGCGTGAACAGTTGTATGAAATTAACT